ACTGGTCCAAGGAAAGATTGCAGCTGACGAACTGAAATTTGTTTGGTTCTTGGAGCCAGACAAAGCGGTCTGGATATTCTCCTGTGCTTGGGCATACTTGGCTACACGGAAATTGGTGAACCGCTGAGACGCTTCTGGGTGAGAAGCAACAAGACCAGGTTGCATCCATACATCCGCATCCCAGAAAACTTGGCCACCATAGGAATCAGAGGTTAAGCCACCAACTGAAATGCTGTCCACGTTTACCGGTGCTCCCGCAGCTTCCTTGACTGCGTTCTTGCCAGCGGTATTCTGCAGCAAGTAGTAAGTGCTGGCCACGGAGATTACTGCCAAATCAATGATGTGGCTATCTGCAGGCAATGTCCCGTTGGGGAATGCGTAGTGGTCAACCGAAGCGTCGGGCATCACATTTTCCCATTCAACAATATGGGATCGAAGAGACTTGGCGTAGCCATTGCTCATCGCGGCGGAGGCGGCCTTCTTGGCTGTTTGTTTGGGATCAACAAAGGCATCCGTAGAGGCACCTCCGACATATTTGATGACGCGAACTAACTGATCAGGCTTGAACTTCACATCCACGGCTTGCGCAATGGACGATTTGTTGGAGTGGACATATGGCTTGTTGGTCACAATCTTGCGCGAAGAGAGATCCACACTTGGCGACCCAGTGAGATTCGTGTAGACATAAGCTGTAACATTGGCAATCCCATTCGGTCGGACTGCCGAGAAGATTGCACCATTGTCCTCTCCAGTCTCTACAAAGTCGGTGCGCACTGCAGAAGCTCCATCGATAACATTGACAATTGTTGCATTCGATTCCGTGGTCGGAATAATCTCCATCTCGACCACAGCCTGATTGACGTACAGCTTGTGGGCGAGAAGACGATAGGTAATCTGGTAAGATCCCTTGTTGCCCCGAGGCGTCCATTTGTAAGACCAGACCAAGACACCTGCTTTGAAGTCATATGTGGTTCGGAAATTGGAGATGGTCTCATTATCGACCTTTGCATCCAAATAGGTGTCATCACCAAGATCCAGGATGATTCCCGCCCAGTGGGGGATACCACTGATCACACTGTCATCTCCATACTGGGATAGCCAGGGGAAGTTGCTGCCATTTGTGGTAGGCTGTGAGTCAAAGAAGCCACTGATCGTTGCAAAGGTCTGGCGTCTAGAGAAAAGCGGCCAGCCGTTGGTGTCATCATCGTGGGTATCAATCTCGAAGAAAGGACCAACACTGGCAACATTGATACCCAGATATCCGTTTGCCACTGATCCTCGAGATTGAAAGCGACCCTGTTCCAAGTAGGTTGAGCTCAGAAGCCAGTTGTCTTCGTCCCAGGTCACGCCATCAAAGTCAGTCTGGTACACATTGTTGCTTAAGTTGGCTGCTGAGCTAGAGCCTGTGTGTTCTCTGAAGCATCTTGCGATACGGCTGGCGGGAGAGCCGCTGACAAGATTCAGAAGTAGCGGCAATACCGCGCACGTGAAGGACTAAGCAAAGCATTAGAGGATTGGTAAGGACAGACGAAGAACAAACTCACTTTGAACTGCATATTGCAGTTTTACCACTTTGTCAACCAGGTCAGATTCTCGAATAAATCAAAATTAATGGAATAAGAAGAAGCGATCGGCACTGTCTGTGTGTGCATGGGATGAGGAGAGTGGAGGAAGTAAGACGAGGGTTGAAGGAAAGACAAGAGATTTAAGAGCACTTTCCTAAATCAGCACCAAATGAGAAGATCCAGGTACGTACTAGTACCTACATTATGTACAAAGGAGCAATTTAAAATCATCCCGGCTATAAATGGTGAAATGTGGGGAAATCAAATCAAGCTTACTGGCCCATTTCAAGGTTTAGAGGACTGTTCTCCAAGGTTGGTTATACGGGATGGCATCAGCCAAGGGAAATATCGTAAGAGGCTGGGTTCGTATGTTAAACGGCTTGCAGCGGGAGAACCGGGAAATGCGGGGCAACGACGAATGCGATGGTATTTTGTATAAAACATTTGGCTATTGGCTGTGAAGACCGAAAGTTTCCATCGGCATCCTTCACGGCCAAGACCTACCCGGCTTGGGATCGGGCCACCCCAGATCGTCGTCATCGACTGCAGGGAAGGTTTGGTGCGAGGGATTTTGTGGGGAAGTTTGGGGGTTCGATTAGTAAATTATCTGACAAAAGACCGTTGGGGGGTTATTGGGTTATAAACATCAAATCAAGGAATTATCAGAGGATCTCAAGGTTAATGTACTCGAAGAATCATTATGAAGGATGAAAGTTCAAAGGGTCGAAGCTCGAGGGTTGAAGATTGTGGAGAGACGTTGGTGCCTCAGGTATCTACATCAAAAACCATTTTAGTGTGTCCTTAGATATACCATTAAGATGCATTTCAATATGTTTAGTTATTTGATTTCTTTTCGTATATTTTCCAGGATTTTCCAGTATCATATTTGTACACGGCCTTGTATTATACAAAGCCTACAACCCTTCTCATACACATCATCTCCAGGATCTACGTTTTGAAACAGAATAAAAAAAGGTTGAGCCTTGTCCAAAGACTCAGAAATAGGGTCGGGGCACAAGATGGGACATCGCTTTGGGTATCACCTCAAGCAAGCTGACAGCAATCCTCACTCGATATTTTCCCTATCATTCGTTCATTCGTTACTATTCACATGGGCGTCTCCACGGTGCGAACGCACATCTTAACTAACGCTAGGTTAAACAGACTTGGCAGGGCTCAAGACAACACTTATCCACCACATCAGTAGAAGTTCAAGTCTGTTCTTGTTCTTCGTCATCGTTCTCATCCTCGGAAATTTCACCAAGGGCACTAGGCGCAGCAGACGACGACTGCCTTTGTTGTGGGGCGGCATTGCTTGATCGCGGGTTCGCAGTGAGCGCTCTTTCGCCCACAAATTTATCGCCGGGCCACTCCTCTTTGCACACGGGGCATTTCTCTGCTTGCTGCATGCGGAAGAAGTTGCGCATGCAATGGTCATGAAGTCGACCATTGCATTCACGGTTTCCACAGCGCTGACCCTAGAGTAGCTCAGTCAGGAATGTTTACTAATTTGGGATCAAGCATACTTACCACAGTGATAATGTCTTTGCAAGCAGCACAAATTTTAATTCGCTCCACAACTCGGCCATCGAAAGCCTCGTCATTATACGTCAAGACCAACCAGCCACGCAACTCCATCAGTGCTCGTGGTGTAAGGCTGAGGTAGCCCTTCGGGCTCTTCTGCAGCCAGCCCTCTTCAATCAAGTGAATGATCATGGTCTCCGCTTGTGTCATGCGCAATGACTGTACAGCTGCAGTTTGGGTCTGTGTTGAGTCGTTGCTGATGGAATGCCGTTCGCTAGATGGAACCTTATGGAGTTGTACAGCTTGCATCTGTGTAGCTGCCATTCCTTCGCACAGTCGGGTATTATTTGTGATAAACATGTGGTCAAGCAATCGCTTGAGATACGCAATCTCGTCGGGAGAATAAGTGGTCGCGAGTTGTGTCAAAGGATCACTTGTAGTATTCACAAGCGCATATACTCGCTTTGGTTGAGTGGCTGGGGTATCTTGCTGGGCTGGTTCAAGGACTTGTGGCAGTGAGCTTCTGATTTCGAGGTCGAAGGGTGAAACGGCAGTGTTAGCCGCCGATATAAAATCCGAGAATTGATCTTCCTCAACCTCATCGGGATCCACTGTTCGCCTCTCTGCTCGATGATTCCAACGTCAGTGACTACCGCCATTCACAACAAGGAGTTCAAGCAGGAATCGAGTACCAGATACTGTTAATATCGCAGCCAAAATGGGTTGCGCTTCTTCAAAGGTCATAGACGAACGTGCCATAAACGCCTGGAGAAAGGCACGATTGCTGTCATTGTATTCGGGCATATTTTCAACGTTGACTTCTGGCCTGGAGGTCTCAGAGTTTGTGATATCAGTCAGTTCGAGGTCCTTTGTGCCAACGAAGCACTCCCTTTGACTTTGACGCGATCAGACGCGCTCGCGTGGCTGTAGATGAAAGAAAGATAAGAAGGTACGATAAGGATGCTTAGTAAATGTTGATTCCTGAGGCATATTGTTCCTTCCTTGGAAAAACTGAGGAAGAAAAAATTAAATAGGAAATATGGCTTCTACTGCTAAGTGATTGATTTATTGTATATCCAGACAAAGGACGTCTGGACTCGGTTAGGAGGCTCTGAGCAAACAGGTATCTCAGCAATTAGTTGATGCCTCGGGCATCCACCCGTGAACAGCCAGCCCTAGTGTCGTCGTACTTGAGTGGCAAATAGAGCCTGGTACGAGCATACTCTCCCGGGCAAATTGTAGATTATTCGGCCATGAATAGTAGGCAATTTGGGGCATGCTTACTCTGACTGGTCAAAAAGTAAGATATGACCGTTCAATCATGGATTTAATTCGTCGTCTACTATCTTGCGCACATGGGCTAAGTGACAGGATTTTCGTGAGCGATGAGCCTATCCCATTGAAATATTTATTGTTTAGTATGTAGGGGATCCCCTGATGCGGCTGAATGAACAGAACACATGTGCAGCCTCATTTATCTTTATCCACTAGGTCAATATTCAACAACCTTGATGAAGACAAGTTGGACATGAAGAGCTTGAACGGAAATTCTTCCATTGTTTCTTGGAAAGGCTTCAATCAATAACACCATTCACATACTCATTAGCACCAGTTTCCGCCCCGCCCCCCAAATGCCAAGATGCTTTGTCCAATTGGTTATCTGCAGTAGAGAGATATGCATAGTACATATCAACTATGTAGGCTTGACTAGGAAACTTATACGCATGAGCCAATTGAGAAGTGATATTCCAGGCCGCTTTAGCTGGGTTATTCTCCTTTCTATCCTACATATGTATACACTGTAGGCCTTGCACTCTCAATCGTAAAACCTAAGATTCTCATCATTTCTCAATCCTGTGGAAGGAACAGAGAAAGATGGTTATTTTATCAACCACGTTATGCATTCTCTCAATGCTTCAATCAGAACGTGCAATCGCTTTGTCCCTTTTCTGCACGCATCCTACAATACCATCATGTGCGACATACACATGGCCAGGTGCTGGCCTGACCGACTATGTGAGTGATACCGCAATCTTTGTGTCATACGTCTACACTGTGGGAATATGGGGAGAAGCTGAAGACGGGACAATACTTCTAGCAACTCAAATTTATTACTAAGGTAGACGACGATGTCATGAGCATGGACTCTTCTTCATACGACGCATCAACCTCGGTTCCAGAGTCAAACCATCAAGCGACTCCCACGAGATCTATGACTGTGACCACGGCCACTGCACAGCAAAGCCCATCCAACTCTGGTAGTTCCGGGTCGTCGACCTCTATTGGCACAATTGCGGGTAGTGGTATTGGGGGTATAGCAGGTGCCGCTATTATTGGAGCCGATGTCATCTTCCTACTTTAAAAGAGGGGATAAACCAGGGAATATCCGATACTTACGAAAGACCAGTCAGGACATGCCTCATAATGTGTCGCAGGAAGCTGGTGCCAATGCCTTCATTGCCGAGCTACCGGCACCGGATGATGGAAAGCACTGTTGAGTGTGATAAAGCGGTGTTGCAAAAACAGATATTTTGGGTATGTACGATCCATAAAATTACTATTCGATGCTTGAGAGACACATGTACTATTATCCTGTTGTTAAATAACAAGGTTCTGGATTGGACAGTCTGTAGGAGATTAATAGAAAGATGAGAGAGGTAGCTCCCACTTCTGAGGGCTTCGGTATAATTGAAATGATTTGCTTTTTGTTGAAATATTGGTAATTGGTAGTGAGAGAACTGCAATGTTTCTAGCAGTGACTCGTGAATTTATCATGCTAGAGAATGTCCAACCTAATGCCTTTAAATCGGTTTCTTTGACCGATCTCACACATTGAGGCGCTTGTCCACGTACAGAATGTGGCCTAAACTACGCGCGGGGAATTACTGGGCAAGATTTGTACATGCAGCCTAGCTGTGGGTTGTATTGATCGCACAAGTCTGATATCATGAAACGCAAATGCCAATCAGCAGAAGAAAAGACAGACCGAAACCCCATGCCCTAGATGCGCCGCTGCGCAAAGGAAAATGGAATCGAACCACCGACTGATATCGCCGAACGCCAAAGGATCGAATGTAGTGAAACAACAATGAGAAAAGTCAAGAGCCGTAGTGCACCTAGTATCGTCGCCGGGCGGGCTCGGGGCTGGGGCTACGGCTGGCACTGCGGGGATCTCTGCCGCGCTCCTTCAACCACTTCTTGGTGCTCAATCGGAGCTCACGGTCAAGCTCGGGCGAAGGATCTTTCCGATGAATGAAATTACAGAATCCCCCCCGTACACACCCTTCACCGCTATTGAGTCGACAACAGGCTTCTCGGAAATCCGTGACGGGTGATAACTCGCAGTAGATGGGTCGTGCTGCGTACCAACGGGAGTTTAACGCGTCACATGCTGCCTGCGCATCTTCTTCGTATTTGAATCGGCCGTAGACGTTACCAATGAGATCTATTGTCGCGAGACCTGATGTCAGTAGAGAATCGGACATTTCAAAAGAGAGCATTTACTTACGGTCGTTGTTGTTGTCGCAGATGACCAACTCTTCGAGTTCACCGTACTTGCAAAGCTCACACCATACATCCTCATAGAAGGCGTCGAAGTGGTTCTGCATCTGACTGGGGTTCATCTTGTTCTTGGGGTCGTAGGCCGGATTCTGGTACATATTCGGCATGAGAATGGTTTGGGAGTACGAAGGCTTGACATGCTTGCGAGAGCAGCGGTCGCCGTGTCGGCATGCGCCAATTTTGTAGTAGAACGAACAATTGACCTTGTCCTGTTCGGTACCGAAGATGGATGCAAGGTAGTTGGCCATGGTTGGTTGCTGTCAAGCTCTGGTATTGGGTGTGGAGGATTTAAGGGAAGATGAAACGGGAGTCTCAGGTCGCAGAAGAAGCAGACACGAATGAAACGAGGGCGAAGTTGCTTTGAAAGCTGGGTGATATCGGAACCCTGAAGTTTCTGGAGAGCTTGAGTGGCGCGAATACTGGATGACTAAACCTGGGGAGCTGCGCGGTGGCCGGATTAATTATATTCCGAAGTGTAGTAAAGACGTGGATTTGGTGAGGATTTTCCACGTATACATCTGAACACACCTTTTTCACAGCATACCTTCTACGTTTCACACCTAATTCTTTTTTTTTCTATCTTACTAGATAGAGGGGAGAACTCCCAAAAACGCACATCCAAAAAACCATTTGGAAAGTCAGTGCAAAACTCATTGAAAAGAGATTGTTAAGGAAAATTACTTTTAATCGACAGCGTTTGCGTCATGGCCCTCGCCAGTACCGGGGCAGAACCGGGGTGAAATTGATTTGAGGAGGACCTCAGCTCGGGATCTTTGACTTGATCTCATTCCTAACCTCGAAAGTGTGGACTGAACATTTACTGTCATGAGTTACTAAGGCTCAATTGCAGGCTTATTTTGAATTTATCGAATGAGCCAATAACAAAGAGCAAAAGAAAGGAGAAAAGGGGAACACAGAGAGTATAACCAAATTTTTGAATCTAATTAAATAATTACGCAATGCATTTGTGATCAGAGGAAGGTAGATGGATTTTCCCAGTCGTGGTACCAGAAAAACAGGTTGAGCTCTTCGACAGCAAGGTTGATAAAGAGGTATTCGAATTTGAAGTCAGAAGATGGTTAGTCTTTGTTAATGGCGATCCGGTGAGCTTTCGAAGGTCGGTATATGCGCACTCAGAGAAGGTGTGTTAGAGAACTATGTGGCTACGATGCTGCTTTGCTAGTGATCCTAGGAAAGTACGTCTAGAGGAACATCTGGAGCTCTTTTCTATTATACATAATGCTCACAGCTTGGAACTAGGACTTTTATCCTGAACGGCCAAGCCGCTCACATCTACCGAAAGCTTTTGCTTTTTGATCATCTCAGAAACCACCTTTCCAGTTCCCAAACTCAGCGAGATTCCCCACGCTCCATGCCCAGCGGCTATGAAGACGCCTCCTTTCGGGTTTGCTTTCACTCCTCCCAGAGAGTAATCTCCAACTCTTCCAATTGTGGGAACACCGGTATCTCCCACCGGACGGAAGCACAGCCCTTCACGGAGGATCTCCAAGTCGTCTGTGTTGGCCGTCTTGTCGGTAGCTTCTTTTGTGTCTTTGGGAAGATCTCCCATTAAACGAACTGCAACATCTTTGAGTTTTTGCATCTCGGAAGGGTCAAAAAGTTGGCTAGTATCCCCGGCGCGAGAGGGAAGCTTCATCGTGGGGTTGTTAAGACCTGCGATATAAATCTCTCCGCCTTCTCTGAGGAATATCTCGGGACTAAACCCACATGACGGAGGGTGTGTGGTGAATACAGCATGGCTGCTTCCGCGGTAAACATTCCTCTCGTGTTCCATTGTATACCGAGGGGATCGAACGACTAGTGAATAGCCAGCCAAAGGTATTATATCGAATGATACCTGAGAGGAGGGGAACAGATCTCTAAGAACCTGTGGTGTCCATGGTCCCATGCTCAGAACAAGGTTCGTACACGGAAGGGTCGATTCCTTCTTGGAATCCAAAGACATGATTTTGATTCCAGTGATCGTACCGTTTTCATCTTTGACCACTGCGGTGGCTTGGGCTGGATTATGAAGATTAACACCTCGGGAGACAGCGCCGTCAATGAGGAATTGGCTCAACCGCAATGGATCTCTGGACATGGTTAGCAAATCATCCACGAACTGCTTCAATTTGGCACTCACGCTTGAGCCACTGTTTCGCCCTCGCTTATTTTTTCCAGTATTCCCTCCTTCTGCATCGTCAACCATTCCGGAAAGTCAACCGGAGTGATATCCTCAGATCCAGCCGCGGTCTCTGCTCTACTGGTGCCTGTTCGCAACCAATCGTCACCGCGGGGACCGCCTCTCTTGCGTTGAGCAACGGTATCCAAGTTGAATGCTGTTCCTTTCATGAATCCCCACTTTTTATCTCCGCCCTGTGCTACGGCGAGCTCATGGTGCAAGTCGAAGGACATAGCACCAAGAGGGGCAAGAGATGGCTCGAACCAATCTCTGGCTAGGAAACCGGCGGCATATCCCGAGGCTGCGGTGAAAAGCTCTGGGGATTGTTCAACGATGTGAATCTCGCCTTCTGGCTGGTTCCCAGATAGGTAGTATCCAATAGAGGCACCAATGATGCCTCCTCCGAGGATGACAGTCGACATACTGGCTGTTATGAGTGCAGAATTAAAACCCTTTACCGATTGTCGAAAGGAAATCTTGGTCGCAATTTTTACTTGCAGATCGCACTGCTCCAGTTTGTATTCCTCGGCAATCTACGATTTTGCTTTCCGGTTTCCTTTGCACCGGCCCGGGAATACGTACAAATGGTGGGATGGAATAGCGGGGAGGAATTCCATGACTTGACATATTAGATAATGATACACGGCACCCAACCTTGGAAACATTGAATACATTTGTACTATGGGGTAGGGGAAGAGCTCATCGCAAAACGTGACCCTTTTGGGCGATCGTTTAAGTGTTTCTGATGAAAAGTGGATCATCTCTCGGTTCACTTCTCTGCAAATGGCAACGGCTTTGTCTTCCATTCGGTTCGCTATACGATGGAAGGGTTCACGATATATTTTATATATACTATGTATATTCCAAATCCATCTGATAACCTTGGAACCTCTTAAAATTATGTAGGTACATTCTTGAAATTTAAGTTATTTCTTAAAGTTTGTTCTCTCCAAAGCCAAGATCATATAGTCCGAGAGCAATTCATTGGGGAAACCACCTGTCTATGAGCAATACCTTCAATTTCTATTTTATTTATTGCGAATCAAACAATTATTTTCACTATAGCTCTAATATTTGGCTATAGGCTCTATTCCATATACACTGCTACTCCAGTATAATAAAAGGTGTACAACATGACGTCGACCCTGCAGGGAAACCTTCCCGAGGTCAAGACCGAGATTAATAAGCCCCGCACTAAACCTTTCGCGGCACTCTGTCACCGTCCACGGGTCTTCGTATTATTATTCCTTATCTTTATTGATATTCAGAATTAAAGACGTCTACAAAATAAATTTGAAAGTAAGTTATACTAGCTGCCTATCCAGAGTTTCCCAGTGCTTGAGTTACTGGCTTTCCAGAGCTGTTCAGTCATGTTTGTTCACCCATGGATATACCCGAGACAGCTCGAGTTATGGAACAATCCTCAACTCAATGAGTCTGTCAGCATACAAAGCAATGCCAAAGCCTGCTGGAATGCATTCTGCTTGCTGCTATCATCGCGAACTTGGCCTCATTTCTAGCTTTCATTTGTTACGATGTTGATTTTCTAAGAAACTTCATGCCACTAACACCACTATAGCATTCAGCAAAATGGCCAAGACCATCATTGTCACGGGAGCTTCAAGAGGTAATGTCCGTCAAATTTCACGTATAGTCATACACTAACATCAACCCCCTTAGGTATCGGTCTTGCTGTGGCCAAGTATCTGCTCACGGCACCTCAATCCCACAATGTGGTGGTGGTAGCCCGCAGCGTTGAACCCCTCCAAAAGCTCAAGGAGCAATACGGCAAGCAGGTGGCAGTCTTGAATGGCGATCTGTCAGACTTTTCTCTTGCCCAACAGGCCGTCGACACAGCCATCAAAACCTTCGGTCAACTTGATGGAATGGTCCTTAACCACGGCCTGCTAGGCCAGATCGGCAAAATCTCCGACGCTGATCCGCAACAGTGGAAAGAAGGCTTTGATATCAACTTTATCAGCTTGGTTGCTTTTGTACGGCACCTTCATCAAATCTACAAATGCACTACTAACAGAATCTAGGCCAAAGCAGCTCTTCCGGCTCTCCGTGAGTCCAAGGGAAAAATCATCTTCACGTCTTCAGGTGCAGCAGTCACCGGTTACCGTGGTTGGGCTCTCTATGCTGCCACCAAAGCCGCCATGAACAACTTTGCCATGAGCCTGGGTGCCGAAGAACCCGACGTCACCTCCGTGTCTATCAGACCCGGTATGGTCGACACCGAGATGCAGCGTGCTCTGCGGGAGGACCATGCGACAGCATTGGACGCCGAAATGCACTCCAAGTTCACTGGAGTCCACAAGGACGGCAAGCTCCTCAAGCCTGAACAGCCCGGCCATGTCATGGCCAAGCTGGTGCTCGATGCGCCGAAAGAACTCAGCGGTCATTTCTATTCGTATGTGCTATCCCACACAGATTACGCGAGAAATACTAATAATTGGCAGATGGAACGACAAGGAGCTCGCGGTTTTCCAGGAATAAGAATATCATTGATAGCTAGTATTAAAGTTTTTGTTCATATCTGTAATCTTTATAACAAGTCAGTAACGATCGCCACAGAACAATGAGTGCAAGGTTTCAAGCAATGATTGTTTACAAGTCAGTCGAAAGATGAAAAGCAATACATTTTAGAAGCATTAGGCGCAGTGCACCTTCATGTTTAGCATGGAATGTAAAGGTATACATCATGTAATTGGAACTGAAAATATAGCAAAAATTTCTGCGCGTACCTTTAAATACAGATGTAAAAGATTTCCCGTCCTCCAAAGTGTTCCCGTGAATGTAATCCAAGCAGAAACAAGTTCCACGCTTCCACGCTACAATAACGAGATTGATTTCCTGTGAAAATTCTTCAATAAAGTTAGCAACAGCTTCAAAAAAAATTGAAGTGAGATTCAAATAGGCAGAATTTGATAGAGTTCAGATAGTCCGTTTGGCTAGGACAGGTAAGGTCACCATGGAATGTATGATAGGGGCGACAAGCAAAGTTCATCATGTAGAAATTGGAGGGGGGAAAAGGACTTGAGCAAGGGCTTACCATTAGTGCTTGGCCTTGGAAAGAGTCAATCTCATTTGAAGGACTCTTTCCAAGGTAGTTGGAGGAGAGCGAAGACTGATGAAGAAGGAATAAAATGAAAAAAAAATTGGCGCAATTTATGTGATCTCAAAGCGGTAGTATTCTGCCGGCAAGAAATTGTACTTAACTCCGTCGCGCACCTGCAATGGGCCTTGAAACTTTGAGCCCCACGCAAAAGATCAAAGAAATTAAAGCATCCCTTTTTACGCCTCTCCCTTAAGGTCTGGCACTTGTGCTTTATTCGCCTGGCACTATTTCACCTGATTCGCTATGTCCGACCGAGAATTCAACTGTAAGTGAACTCTAGATCTTGCCCGCCTACGCGCAACCTGCTGACATGTACGTGAATAGCAAACGATGACCTATCGCTGCCTAAAGGTACGGTGCACTACCCCTCGTGAATGTGTTTAGCTCTTTATGAACTTCCTTGTCGCTTCACCATCTATGCACTTGTGGATGCACTTGTGGCTCCGCCTACGCGTTTGCTAGCATTTGCTAACTTATCTCTGTGATAGCGACGGTCCAGAAGATTATTACCGAGATTCTACCACCTAGCTCCGGCCAAACCTTCTCCAAGGATGCGCGCGACTTGCTTATGGAATGCTGTGTTGAATTCATCACCCTGATCTCCTCCGAAGCAAACGATATCAGCGAGAAGGAGGCCAAGAAGACCATCGCTTGTGAACATGTGGAGAAGGCGTTACGGGATCTCGGCTTCAGTGATTATATCGCCGATGTCCTCGCTGTTGCCGAAGAACACAAACAGCAGCTAAAGGTATGTGAATGATATGGTTGGAATTGTGATACCTTAGAGCACAGGCTGACCTCTGATCTTCATTATAGTCACGAGAGAAGAAGCAGAGCAAGATGGAGCAAAGTGGCCTGACAGAGGAGGAGCTTCTAAGACAACAACAGGAGCTATTCCGATCAGCGACTGACAAATACCATGCGGTCCCAGAATAGAATCACCTAAGACTCATGCTGGTCATAGAGTGGAAAGGATGATGGCGTTTCGTGTGTTCCACCGGATATGTGGGTCTGGAGTTTTTTTTCCTGAATGGTTTCTGATTTTTTCCCTCCTCTGCTTTGAGAGGATGCGTTGTGGGCAGGGTATACTCTCTAATGATGCGAAATCGCACAATGCATTAGTCAATTGCATATGATTTGAATGTTTAACAGGCATGGTCCAACTCTCTAGAATGCCCATTGGCGTAAAACGTATATTCAATAAATATTCAATAAAACACAAGTGCGTCGGCTATTATGTTTGGAGGATATCCATGGGTCTTGTTCTAGCTGAGCTCATAGGCAAATCCTACTCAGGTGGCTCTGTGCATATGCTATAGTATGGTACGGAATATATTCTACTGGTGTATATAGTTATGCCATGACCAAACCTGTAATTTCGATTTGATTTGAATATATTTCTACTATTTTTCAATATTAGATGTAATATAACTGTAAATAACCTCTAGGTATAGACTAAATATTCAAATTCGTAAGTTTGGGTGTGTAAATTGACGTTTGTTACGAGGCTGTTGTCACCTTCCACAGTCAACCGTCCAAATATTCGGAGATACTATTCTCCGTCCAACACCCACTCCACCTCACGTGATTTTCGATCTGCTCAAACTACGCTAAACCAAAATGGGAAGAAAGCGCAACCAACGCAAATCGAGCCACGGCGGAGCTCCCACGCGCAGTCATCATTCGTCGCAACGTTCTTTACTGCCACCGATAACAATGCCTCCCTTCAAGGATGAGCATATCTTGGTATGTTCTGTTCTTCGTATTTTCTTGTTAAAAATTAACCAATCCATCTAGCTAATTGCGCCGGGTTCGCAAATGACCTTGGCGCAACTCGGCTTGCCCGAAACATTCACGCCCGCGCGATTTCGGTTCCCAACCCGCATGTTCCCTGCCGAGAAGAAGGGAGAATATGAGCCTTACCGTGTTCACGAGAGACGCCAGGAGGTCAAGGCCGACAATGGCACGGATGTCCCAAAGCCAGACGTGGAGATGAAGGACGCTGAGCCTACCGCAGCCGATGGTACCACAGTTACAGAGACCCCTGTCAAGACCGATGAAAATACCCAGGATAATGGCGAGTCAGACAAGACTATCGAAGAGATCTTCTACGAGGAGGACCCGGCATCCGACGAAGGGGCAATCTATCCGATCGAAAACGGGCGCATTGTCGACTGGCCCTGTTTCTTCGCCCTGCTCACTCACATTCACAATACCTTGAGCCCACCTTTCCACACCCCTATCCTGCTTATTGGTCAGCCCGTCTGGTCCGCACGCGATCGCGAAGCAATCACTCAATTTGTTTTTGAGAAGTTCAAGGCACCCGCGTTTAGTCTGATGGACTCTGCTCTTGCGGCTTGCTACGGCTATGGTACAGCTACAGCTACTATTGTCGATGTTGGAAAGGGCAAGGTCGATGTCACTGCTGTGACTGACTTTTCAGTCAACGAACACGGCAGGGGAATCGCAGTGGAGGGGTGTGGTGGAGATGCTATGACCGATCGTCTAGTTGAGCTGCTGGGACCTAAGGGATTTACCAGAGAGATGTGCGAACAGCTCAAGCGAAGCAATATTACTGAGATTTTGCCCCCAGGGACCCCACTTCCTGGGTCTTCTGCTACTGCGCGCCAGGGCGCCAACCCTGCTGCTGCTGTCTCCACAGGCGGATCGGATGGAGATGAGTCTGCTCCACGTGGCCCAGGAGACGGCACTCAGACAGGAATTGAGGGGGACAATGGTGACGAAGAAGAGGGTGTTCTCGATGTCGCTGCAATTGTCAGCGGCAACCCTACTGAATACCTTGCTAATGTCGAGAAGGAAAAGACAACTGCCAAGAAAGGCGCAGCTGACCCCAAGGGAGCCCGTCTGCCTAACTCGAAGAAAGAGAAGGCGTCCTTCCAGTTTGAGGAGTTTGTTCAGTTGGAAGGAGAGAAGGCAGCAGCCAACGGTGCTCGACAGTACATTCGTCATACTCGGGATATTGAAGTCAGTGTTGAGCGTTTCCTTTTGACTTCGCCACGCTCGACGGTTGAAAACCGCTTGTCTAGTGGTATCCTCGAAGATATTGCGACTCAGATTCACCATACCATTCTTGCCGTCCCAGATGCTACAAAACGAAGCGAGCTTTGGGACTCTTTAATTATTGTTGGGTGTGGAAGCAAGGTCAAGGGTATGTTCTATCATTATTATCTACAGTTTAGGTCTTCCCGCTAACATTACGACAGGTTTCACCCAAGCTTTGCTGGCTGTCATCACGCAAAAGTTCATTCTTTCTCCATCAGGCACCATCTTCACGTCTGAAATTCCTTCGAACTTCACCACCCCCCTTCCAACCGGTGCCAACACACCAGCTCCTATGGGTCAACCCGGCCCGGGGTACCACCCCGCGGCACCTGGAGTGAACCCTCTACTTGTGGCCGCTACTCACAACAACCCCGGTATGCCTGGAACGCCCTCCATGGATCCCAGCATGCTATCACACTACCGCTCAACCGGCCACTCACAAACCCCAACCTCGGTCAAGACTCTGAAGCTTCCTGAGTATTTCCCAGACTTCAAGGACCAGGGCAACAGCAACGCTCCCGGTGCCAGCAGTGCTGGGGGTAACCCAGGTGCACCCGGCACATCCCAAGGTGGCCATGGGATGGAAGAAGCCGTCTTCCTTGGAGCTCAGATGGCTGCCAAGGTTTTCTTTGTCGTTGATCAGGGTCTCAGCAAGGGTTACATGAGCCGGGTTGAGTACAACGAAAGCGGACCGTCTGCAATCCACGAATACATCCTGTAATACTTGCAGAATCGGTGATTTAATATTCATACTGGTTTGTCACACATTTCTTCGCCCTTCACCTTGGTGAAGCTCGCTGGTTTTTCTCCGAAATATCTCTTTCTTGTTTTATGTACGCTATGATCCTAGGTAGAAAAGCGATCTCAGGATGCAGGCGTAGGATTCGGGGAGTTTTGTTTAATTTGTCGGAATATTTCAATGAACCAAAGTATTCAGCTTCATTTCATATTCATTCATCCACATAAAACATCCATGCAACTATGAACATTAAATTAAAGAATCAACTAACCAATTTTGGAAGCTCAAGAAGGACTAGGCCTCTTTTGGATGTGTCATGTGATGTATTATATAATAATCGGCTTATCGCGTTGATCTGCGCCACTTCCAAGCTTCTCTCACGACTTTCTTGAACGCTTCTCAGCATATCCATCCTCCCGATCTCCTGGCGCTTCGAAGCTTTACACTCTCGTCGCCTTCTTTGAACGCTTCTCTCGACTTCTTTACCAACATACAAAATGGGGCGTGCGGAGGCTGGCAGTACAAAAGCCATCGGCAACAAGATCAAAAGCAAAGGCTTAGGTCGCCTTCGATGGTTCTGCCAAGCATGCGAAAAACAATGTCGAGATGAAAACGGTTTCAAATGTCATACCATGACTGAGGCGCATGGTACGGAATTCCATTCTCTATCTCCTGGCAACCTGCTAACTTTGTATTAGTCCGACAAATGATGATCATTGGAGAAGACCCGCGCAAGCACATCAGAGAGTTCAGTCGCGAATTTGAACGGACTTTCCTCGATACCCTCAGAACCACACATGGAACGAAACCTATCAACGTCAATCATTTCTATAATCAGATTGTGGCCGATAAGCAGGTATGTCTCTAATATTTTACTCTCTTCTGTTCATCCTGACTAACTTTTTAATAGCACATTCACATGAACAGCACAGGTATGTCCCGAAGTAAAGGAGAAGCGAGGGTTAATGCTAACCTTCGTGGCAGAATGGAAAAGTTTATCACAGTTTGCAGCCTACTTAGGCCGGGAAGGAAAATGCCGAGTCGAGGACACCGATAAGGGCTTGGTTATAGCGTGGATTGATAACAGCCCAGAAACACTTCGCCGCCGGGAGGCTATCCTAAAGAAAGAACGCCAGGAGAAGGGAGACGAAGAACGAGAGCAACGCTTGATTCAGGATCAGATTAAGCGGGCCCAGCAAGCGGCGCTGGCTAGCAACACTACGACAGAGCCTGAACCCGAGGCAAGATTGTTGCAGAGGAAGGAAGGAGAAAAAATGACATTGAATCTTGGACTTGGTTCTAAGAAGACAGATACAAAGCCTGCCTCACCCCCTACAACAACAACGACTACAGCGGTATCGCTGGAAGGAACAGATGCACCGGCAGAGAGCACCGACTCTCCCGCTCCGTCTGCGCCTCCCGCACCCGTCAAAATTTCGATGTCAATGGGCGCACAGAAGCCGAAGAATGTGTTTGCTGCGGCTAAGAAGAACCCTTTGGCTGGGAAGAAGGGTTCTATTTTCGCGGCTCCTAAGAAGATGACTGAACAGGAAAGGATTATGAGGGCTGAGATGGAGGCAATGGAGCGAAAGCGATCTCGTCCAGACTCTGGTTTCACGAACAAGCGACCAAAGATCACTTGAAGTGGCGTATCTTACATAGAAAGAAAATACATACCCAGCTACCCTGCCCATGCGGCTGAGCCTACCACAACATCTCATAGGTGGGTCACTTTTCAACCAAGTAAGTTATTTCTTCAAATTTACTCTCATCGTGCAACAGTAAGCCTTCAGGGTGATTCCCTGCCATTCGAGTGAATCTGCGTAGGGTTTATGAATAAGTGCCATGAGATGGGCGGCTGGAAGACTGTGATCCTTTCCCGGCGAGACATGAAGAGCAGCCCGATACACTGTGTTATCTACCGACTCTGACAAGACGATAGTTAAGGTCCCCTATTCCCGAGCGATCTTCGATTATTCAAGATTAAATCTTGAGCATATAATGCATTCTAAAAACCCAGGATCTGTTCGCAAATCTCGAATAGAGATCCTAATGTCTATCCGGAAGCTTGACAACAAACTCGAGTAGCGATTATTACTCCAGCCAAATCACCGACCTACTTTAATTCTCGTAGAAGCTATCAACTAGCAGTCCTATCGTAGATATATATCTTTCTTCTTATACAGATAGATTATCGTGACTATATATCTATTATTTGTTATACTAGTGGTCGATACATGGCATCAACCCAAAACAAGGCTAATCATCAGCTAATTTGGCTATCCTTTCTCGCTAAGATATAGAATTTCTTAGCCTGGCTAGTTCTTTAATCAAAAAAACTACCCCGCTTGGTTTGAGCCGAAAATTTCTATATAACCCGCGTTGAAAGACTTATCGCTGCCAGACCAGCCGAGCTTACGATCACCGAGGGAGAGTATCAGCTGGCTTCTCGTCCTTTTATGGCTCCGATACTTCATATGTAACAACAAGAAAGCCTTAGAAACCCGTATACATTGGAATGAACGGTAGCAATACCCATTTCAACGCCGAGGGCGTCGTGACTTCTTGGACTACGGATTGATCGGTAGATAAGCAACCAAATAGAGACCAAGATAAGGCAGCTTGCAAATGTACTTTTTAGCTGTTTCGGCGTACAGTGCGATGTTGTAGAACGGTCTCTAATAACCCACGGAGTACCTTCCAAATCCGTCACATCCCGCTATCTGGGCCTATTGAATTATCCAACTAGTCGGGTCTAATGGACCATACAACATATGTTTTTTGAAAATATACATAGGCTTAAGCACAGGACACCGCCAAGCCAACGCTGCTAATAGATACTACATACAAATAAACAATGACTATGACGTGTTCGTTGTTGCTTCGCATTGGGCGGCTATGATCTACCAAGATAAGACAAGCCTCCTTTCTTGGAAATTTGGCGTCTTGGCATCTCGAAAGTGAACGCTTGATGATAAGACCTCATTTCCAATGCGACTGTTCTCAAAGGCTAAAAAATTGTGCCTGCAGAGTATCTGTACGGAGTACGGAATAATATGTATCCCCGTGCCTGGGGTTGTCCCAGGGCCGCCAGGCACGGGTGGGATGCTCTTCAGGTTAGACCGAAATTGCGAATCCGAGTCCACAATGGTTTCAACGGAGCACCGTACGGGTGACACATAGGAACGATCCTATAGCGCTAGCATGGGCTGTTATTGGGTCCGGGGATGCGCCAGTGTTACATTCCCATGCCTATTCGTCATTCCTCTCCACCATGCCGTGCGGTTGCAGCCCACTCTTCCCGCATATGCTTCATCTTAGCCGGAGAAATCCTAGTAATTAAGAGTAAATCGCGAACTGGTCCCCCTAATATGCATGGTTATCACGCGATTGAAGCGGGATATTTGCCCCCAGTCGCTGAATTTTCTGTGTTGGTGCTCTGTATTTATTGTCGATCTCCTCCGGATATCCCTTAGCAAACCAAACATCACTCCTGGTGGTTTTATTTCCCAATGAGTATGTAGACCATATTTATTTGTCAAAAAGTATGCGAGACTAACCTTATCGAAATCGTCAGGTAATATTGAGCCCAATACGGAGACCTCGGGGGTCGCAGCCCGTGGGCACTCTCAGATATCGCAGGAATCTCGAGAATCCTACGACGATGAGCTCACCCTCCCAACTAAGGAAGAAAATTCCACACTTCGCAAAGTGGCCGAAAATCTGCCCCTCGTTGGTTTCTCCCTTTGTTTGGTCGAGTTTGCCGAGCGCGCGTCCTACTATGGAGCACAAACAGTCTTCTCCAACTTTATCCAATTCCCATTGCCCGAAGGTGAGTCAGGTTTGCAATTAAGTGTCGGGGAAGGCCATTACTAACAAGTTATAATACACAGGTGGCAATGGAGCCGGTGCTCCTCCACGTGGAACCCAAAAGACAGCCGGAGCCCTAGGATGGGGATTACAAGCCAGTACTGGTCTCGTGCTACTATTCAAATTTTTGGCCTATATCGTCCCGATCTTCGGTGGTTACTGGGCAGATACTTATGTCGGGCGGTATAAGGCCATTGTGATTGGTGTTTTGATCTGCGGTATTGCTCATATCGTCCAGGTCGTCGGCGCGATCCCTTCTGTTCTCCAGAAGGGCAAAGCTAATGCGGCTCCACCGTTCGTCATTGGCCTCTTGCTTCTTGCTTTCGGTGCCGGTCTCTTCAAGCCGAACATCTCACCGACTGTTCTGGATCAACACAAGTCCCAAAAACCATATGTCAAGACTCTCAAGTCGGGTGAGAAAGTTATTGTCGACCCCGAGACCACCAATAATCGGACCATGCTACTGTTCTACATGTTTGTCAACCTCGGTGCCTTCTTTATGTTGGCCACAACCTATGCTGAAAAGTACGTTGGGTTTTGGCTTTCCTTCCTGCTAGCCGGTGCCATTTACTTCTTGCTTCCAATCCTCCTCTTTTCTGTCTACAAAAAGACCAAAAAGCAGCCTCCTAGTGGAAACAAGGACCTCGCGGAAGCCGCCAAAATTATATGGACTGCCCTTGTACAGAGCAAATTCCAATTCTGGCGCAAAGACTTCTGGGATTCAGCGAAACCCGCAAATCTCCGCAGTAAGGGTATCGAAGTTACCTGGACGGATACCGCAGTATTCAAAGTTGCGAAAACAATGGGTATGATACCTCCCCGGCCCTTCTTCTACTTTGTTTCAGGCAAAGACCCTTAGGCACATTGGTCAATTCTAACAATCGTGTTCATTAACAGAGGCGTGCGACATCTTCTGGTTTTACCCAATCTACAATCTAAACGACGGTGGTATCGGCTCAGTCTCCACAAACCAAGGTGCATCGATGATCACAAACGGAGCACCCAACGACCTTCTCAACAACTTCAACCCACTGACAATCATGGTCACCATCCCGATCCTGACTTTTGTGATCTACCCATTCCTTGAGCGGCGCCGGTTGAAGCCCGGTCCCATTACCCGAATTACAATTGGCTTCTCTATTGCCACTCTAGCTGGCATAGTCGGCGCACTGGTTCAATGGAAAGTCTACCAGCTCTCACCATGTGGTACTCACGCATCGACTTGTGACAACGTCGCCGATATTAGTATCTGGTGGCAGATCCCCAATACAGCTCTCAGCGCCATTAGTGAATGTTTCGCCAATGTCACGGCGTACGAGGTGGCTTATGCTCGGTCCCCAGATAGTATGAAGGGTCTGGTCGTTGCTATTTTCCTTTTCATGACTGCCCTATCCAGCGCTCTTGGTGAAATTCTCATCCCCGCCATTACGGACCCGTGGCTGATCTGGATTTGGGCTGCTCCTGCCGTCGCCCTGGCGGCTCAGACTGTTATTTTCTGGTTCAGGTTCAAGCATATGAACTCTGAGAACTACTTTGCCAGTAATGTGGATTCTCCTCGGGTTGAGGAGCAGCAAGTCTTATCCAAGGCGGAAGCTTGAGTTTCATGGTCTAACATCACAAATGTTGAAGCGAGGCACTGCTTGTCTTGTTTCATGAATGACGGACGATATATATTTTTGAACTGTATTTACTCTACTCTATATACATACCTTGATAGTTACTTTGCATAATTACCCCTGCGAGAAATCATAACCTCTGAGAGCGGAAATGAAAAGTCACTAATAATCTATTCTTTTACTAGCACATAAGGTACTAGGCTGTGCCTTGTTGTACTAAGTTCCCTGCTGTGACTTGCCTGCTTATAGGGTCAGCGATCATTCAATAACTCTGTATTTGAAAAATATCAGATTTACTGTGATGAATAAATACAATGCAAATACTTAGTTTCAAATTTAAGAAGACATCGGCCTTCACGGGGCATTATTCGAAAACTAAGGAGTGATCAAGCAACGATCAAACAGCACGATCTCGTCACCAACAGGTGCATCATCCTCATATCACAACATTGCCCCTCGGTATCGCTTTTCTTGTAGAGCAGCACTAAATTCGCGCTAGGTAGTTAGGTCTTAGTGAAGCCATATATGTATCGAAAAGAGAAGACATCATGCTAAAAGGTGAAAAGAGCGGCTGGATCGACACCTCTAGGGTGAGTGCGGGTGAAAACGGGACAACAATTCTCATCTAGGGGATGATAGGAACGTATTTAAATTAAACTCTAAGACCCTTTTTTATCCTACCCTAGGATGTTAAATAAGTCTAGATGATGTCAGTGGAGTCCGTGGCTTTTGTTTTTTGACTGACGGCGGCGCAGAAAAACATAGTGAAGGGAGGCTCTAGCGAGCACACTTCTCGGCTATATGAAGTTTAATTAGACACCTATCGTCGTCATGTCGGAGATTTGCGGCATTTTACTTTAAAACTAGACCTGCTCCACAATTTACACATTGAGCAGAAGAGTCATTCAGTGGTGCTTATATTGTGGGTCCTAATGGAGGTCCGTTTACGGCATAATAGGTATGAAAGACCGGAGACCGGAGTTCTTCGATTTATTATTTGAATTACAATTTCTTCCATCCCATTAAGCACCGTGGAGGACTACAATGTCGTCGCATTTTTAAGGGCTGTGTTCACCTGGGCATTATAGCTTAGGGTTTGTCGTGATCCTGCAGCGCTCATGCGAGCTTTTGGTCTTAGAAGGAGGATTGCCTTTTTTCCCCCTTCTCTTTATTTGCTTCAAACCCAGAAGATCAAAATGAAAGCAAGGTGGGAGTATTTGGAATGCCCGTCAGATTTGTGAGTCAATAATTGGCGGAATCCCTGCTTATCGTAACCCACTTCCCGAAATAAAGAATGCCTTTCAGAGACACGGGCCGAGAAAGGATCGGATCTTTAAGAAAAAGCCTGACATGATCAAATTCGAGAGACATTAAGCGCAATTCGGCATATCGGCAATGATATCATGATATCACACGATTTAAAGTTGGGCTAGATGCAGCGTCCACTGAGTTTTATAGGTGTATTCTCGGTGATCGCTCGGACCGAGATTTTACCGGTCACATTTTTCTGCCTTGCCGACTTTCCGGTGATCCTCCGGTCTATCTCGGAGATGGGTCGGGCTTGAAAGTATATACCTGACGTCGAGAGCTTCCCTGGAGGTATAAGTATCTTCCATCTCACCTTCAAAGTATCTCACACGATCATATAATCTCATAATTCCTTCTATTCTTAATAGACTTTCACATTTATTATTATGTCCTCAACAATACCAGAAGACTCAGAGACCCCAGAGCCCTTGCATCCACAGCGCCCAACTATGGCCGAAACCCAAGAGAGCCTCCGCAACCGGGGCATCGCAGAAACCCCTCGACCATTGGACTACAACTACCCAGCTATTGGACATGATTCGGACCCTGTGTTCCCCGAAGAGTACACCGTTGAAACCAGTACCGGTCTTGTTCCTCAAAGAACCCTGGAGCAGATCAGATCTCATGCTTCTACTATCCCATCCACGAAAATTGGCACACCAAACTACGAGCCCAACGCCGACATCGACATCGAAAAAGGAGGAAAGGGCCCCACGGAGTTTGTAACCTTCACCATCGATGATCCTGAACACCCCTACAATTGGTCCCGCGTTTATCGCTGGTACATCACTCTTGTCGCTTCGGCAGTTGTGGTATGTGTCGCCTTCGGGTCCTCCATTGTCACCGGAGGATTAGGTTTGATCGAAGAACAATACAATGTCTCTCTCGAAGTTGCAATCCTGACATGTTCGATCATGGTCTGCGGTTTCGCAGTCGGTCCTCTACTCTGGTCTCCCCTCTCTGAGATCATCGGCCGAAGACCTGTATACATCATCTCCCTCACTTTATATGTCATTTTCAACATTCCATGCGCTCTGTCCCCAAACATTGGTGGCTTGCTCGTGTGTCGGTTCTTATGCGGCGTCTTCTCCAGTTCAGGTCTCTCCCTCGCTGGTGGCACCATCGCCGATATCTGGAGCATTGAGGAGCGTGGTATGGCCATTGCTTACTTTGCTGCTGCACCATACTGCGGCCCTGTGCTTGGTCCAATCGTGACAGGTTGGATCAACGTTGGATCAGGACGTCTCGACCTCTTCTTCTGGGTGAACCTAGCCTTCGCCGGTGCCATCACGATCATGATCGGCCTTGTTCCGGAGACATACGCTCCAGTAATTCTCAAGCGCCGCGCCGCAAAACTCCGCAAAGAAACTGGGAATCCAAACATCATCACCGAGCAAGAAAAAACGAAGCTCACATTCCAAGAAATCGCTCGCACAAGTCTGATCCGACCCATCACTATGATCATGACCGAGCCCGTTCTCGACCTGATGTGCATGTACATTGTTCTGATCTACGCAATGCTCTACGCCTTTTTCTTCGCATACCCGGTCATCTTCCCCGCGCTCTATGGCTATAACGACGGCCAGATTGGACTCATGTTCATCCCCATTCTGATCGGCGCTGCCTTCGCCCTAGTTGTCACCCCAGCCATCGAGGGCAAGTTCAAGAAGATCTGCAGCGAGCGATCCCCAACACCAGAAGACAGACTCCACGCAGCCCTGATTGGCGCACCTTTCATCCCAATCGCCTTCTTCATTTTGGGCGCTACCTCCTACAAGCATATCATCTGGGTTGGACCTGCTTCGTCGGGTATTGCCTTTGGCTTCGGCATGGTGTTGTGTTACTATGCAGTGAATAACTACATCATCGACTCATACCAGAAGTACGCTGCGTCAGCCTTGGCGGCCAAGGTCTTCCTTCGCTCTGGGGGTGGTGCAGCTTTCCCGCTGTTCACCACGCAGATGTATGATCGTCTTGGATTGCAGTGGGCCTCCTGGCTGATGGCTTTCATTGGAGTTGCCATGGTTTTCATTCCGTACATCTTCTACTTCTTTGGAGCGGGGCTGCGTGCAAGACTTACCCGGGACTAGGAGTACTGTTGTTGTTGTTTTTTCTTTCTTTTGATCGAAAAAAAATTAGAACATTGAGAAGCTTAATATTGGTTGGTGGAAAGACAAAAGTCCTCATGTGGACATAATTTTGGGGGTAATGAAATAATAGACCTAACGATACATAGAACATCACAATTATAATACTATTTTGAATCAATCACAGAATACGGTGCTAGGGTCGCCCTGCTTTAGCGCGATGGAATATTATCAGAGAAGAATTTGCATAGGGTCATTATCAAAATCGATGAGTGAATTGTTTGCTCACATTGGCAATTTTAGAAATACTAGGAATTCTACTGTTTCAGGTGCGACAAATCGTCGATTTAAATTCCAAATTTCAGTAAAGCTGAGAAGATCTGACCGGCAATAGTGCGACGAAGGATGGTAAATCACCCCCCCCCTGCCGCGCACTCACCTATCTCATCATCCTGAGCCAACCTTAGCCTACCCCCTCCCCTCCAGATAAGACGTCGTCTGTCATCAAAATGGTTATTTGGCCGGACCCCAAACCTTGCACTAACTGTGGATTGATGCAAGAGGGCCACACGCGGAAAAACTGCCCGCATATCGAATGCATTCGCTGCCACGAGCACGGTCATATGAGTTACGACTGCCCGAACACTGAGTGCAGCTACTGCCACAAAATGGGGCACTGCAAATCCAAGTGCCGCAAGCTCAAGCGTAAGAATCGTGGGCAACAAGGCGACAGAGCATACGAACGCCCCTCCCTCCCCTCGAGCGTACATTCATCTATGCCACCTTCACGGCGTGTGGAGCCTTCCCAAAGCACAGTTGACCCCCAGCCCATACTGCCTTTACAGACTACTCAGGAAACTACCATGGCAAGTTCTAAAATGTCCTATAGGAGGCTTATCTTCTAATCCAGAATCAGAATTCTTGGGAGCTAGTCCCAAGTGTTGTTTTCCTGAACCTTCATAACACGATTTGTCAGTTGACTTCGAGGCTCGCGACTGATCCCAATATCTACCTGCAACGGCTTCCATATCACTCGGTGATTACAAGCCATGGAGGTCCACAGAAGATAGCCCAGATGTTGCTGGAGTGGGTTGATCCTCATATTAGGGCACTTGAGGGTAGATTCCTTCGGACAGAGGAGTACGTTAGGCCCCTGGATTAGATATTATGGTTTCTAACATCTTCAAAGTCTTCTTAGTGTCCAGAAACGTCAGAATAATTGTTGGAGCCCAAATTGAGGCTACGTGGATATTGTCACAGACTCAAGAAACAACGAATACTGGCGTGCCTATCCTGGTCAGTCCAAGGAACGACCAGGTCGTATCAAGATCCACAATCGGGCAATTCTGCACGGATCTAGGAGCACACTACACTATTATGTCATTGCACAGGGACAAGGATATCGGGCGGCAAACTGGCTTAAGCTCTGGGAAGTACCAAGGGACACTCAGCTATCATGCACCTCTCGAGCCGTGGCTCTCAATGTTCTAGAAATGACGATGTGTCGCGCTTTTCAATCACTTCCAGGGAGTAGCTTGGAGGCTTATTATGGATCAAGTGAGGACGGGAAGCCTTACTCAAATCTCGGGTTGAATATCATACCTCCTGTTCTACAAGGACTTTCCCTTGGACCTTCAGTGCGAAAATCTTTTTCCCTTGGCTTGGAAAAATCCCTAGATCCCGATATTAATGGATGGACCCAATTCCGTTACGAGTACGGGAAAAGGCCGAGAAGTCCAATATCAACTTTCGGCGCCCACTAATGCGATCCTCGGAGTTTCATATTCGTTTTCAGGATGCAATCCAGCATCTCCAGCTAAGCCAGTCCTTCTGTGGCAATGAGTCCCTACCACACTCAACTTTAACCAATTTTGAGCTTTTGAGCCAGTTAAAAGAGCACCTGGAGCCAATACGACTTCCCTGGACCCCGCCTAACGGTAACCTTGAAGCGCTGGTTGGCTTCGCACTGGAAGATTTTCTTGATGCAGAATCAGAACGCTCGGGTAACACAAAGATATCCATTCCGCGCCAGTTTCAGGATGGTGGCTGGAATGTGACGAACTCTCTCACTTGGGCTGCAAACCCTATCCAGAGAGATTTGACTGAAATGACGCAGTCCTTCCGGTCGACCCAGCAGAGTGAGACTGAGTCATTTATTCGGTTCAACCAATCAATTATCCAACATAGTGGATTACGGCTGATTCTTATGTGTGGACGTGCAGTGCAGGATCTTGTTCTACCCACAGAGTGCAAAGAGACTCGCCTTAAACTAGAATCTGGGGAATTTCCTATGTTTCTTGAGATTGAAAACAAAGCTATCAAACGGGTCTATATTCTGATACCAAATCCAATTGATGCATTTCTCCTCCGAGAATGGTGCAAAACTCACAAAATGTCCGAGGCTCTTCATTTCACATCAGCTATTACCATGACTGTCGGTATTCGCCCCTACGCTAGTGATAATGGATGTGTCCTGACAAAGGCCATCCGAGATTACATGGATGAACGGAAAGGAATTCAGGAACCCTTAATGCTCAAAACTCTTCATCCAATGGCTCGCTTGTGGCTTACACGTAGAGGATTCGCGAAAGACGAAGACATCTCTCTCTTGCGAGAAAAAGGAGGCGGGAGTCTTAGCAACGCAATCCTCGTCTTGCTACATGTGACCCCACGTCATTTTCAAAACGCCCCCACGACATCCTCTATGAGCTCATTCCGCAGATCAGAGAAACACCATGTCCCAGAGTTTCAGATTGACAAAGCGCAGCTTGAAGCTGTTCGGGATCTCTGTTGCCAATTGAGTAAGAACCTACCGATTGATTATGACCACCCTAGTGATGGGTTAATCCAGAATGTCAAATCCAGGGAGGAAGATTTGGAAGATGATGTTGGGGAGACTAGTGTTCTCGAAAGAGAAGACCTGGAAACTTCTCGAATCTGTGTTGACGGCCACGGGACCTTTGCGCTTGTCATTGAGGCCCCAGTCCCTCCATGGGAAAGGAAAAAGTTCCGTGCTTGTGCTTTGGATCGAAACTTCACTGTCGAAGACAAAACTCGAGAAGAACTCTTACAAGGCCGCAAATATCTCGGGACCCGGAGGGGACAGGAAATGTTTGTTGTGACAATACATTCATGCATTCATCTTTTTCTTCGTATTGAGGAGCCTCCACGAGAAGTCATTGTTAAAGCCGATATCAAGCCACCTGGTCAGCGACATCCACACGTATGGGCACAAGAAACACTCGCGACAGATCTAGGGTCACGGTTGGCTTTTCACGTTACGTACACAAAGGATGATGTGGAAACATCATCCTACGTGACTTCAAATATGGTCAGAGATCTCTACAAGGCCGACTCATTCGTTCACTGGATGGAGGGGGAGGATGTTGCAGCCATTATTAAAAGACCAAGGCAATTTGTTGTTGTGAATTCATTAACCATAACCCTCCCCCGGGGTATCCCACAACCCGGGTCCTTCTACACCAACGATGACACCACCTTAATCCCTGCCAAGGAGTTCAACTCGGGAAAAAAAGCGCAAAATAGATGCAGTATGACCAGTAAATAGTGTTTGCGCCTGGTCCCAGGGTGGTTTGTACCTGTTTGTTTTATTGCTTGTTGGTGGAGGTCTTACTTCTTCCCCTTTTGTCTTCTCCCCTCCAGCCCTCTGTTAGCTTACAATACTGATCGTCTTGGATATTCTTCTCTTCCTAACCCGTTGACACGTAGTCACACTTTCTAGCAGCTCTGAGCACGATATGTGCAACGTGATACAGTCCGTAACTCCCAAAAGGATTTGCTCTAAGGGTTGGGCTCGTTGGGTATTAGGAAAAGCCCCTTGGGGCAGAATCTTGCTAGGTTGGATTTGATCAATTTGGTGATCTTAGTTAGGTATCAATAGGTCTCCCAGAAACGCTATGTCGGGATCTGAGTATCTGAGACAAGTTAGCTTAGTAGGAAGGCAGATCCTCTCAAAGAGTTATCATATACTAGGGGCGTGCATAAAGCAGCACACCATGAAGCTAGGTACTGTTCAACTAGAAAGGCAAAGCCGTGTTTTCTTGTAGATATGAAGATATCGAGGAGATATATACGAGCATTAGCCACTCTGAGAGCATTTTATGCCCGTTCATGATTATACCCTGCAGTCCCTAAAAATGTTTTGAGGACCCGATGAAAAGCTAAACTAAATTCAAGAATATCTATGTCTGTATGAACCACTCGCGTCATACAGCAAAAGGCCATAGGTGAGGTGGAGCAACCTTTCGTAGAACTAAGGCTATATACGAGAAGGCTGGCTGATATCCTGTTACAGCTTGTAAACTGAAAGTCTAGCAGCCATCCCTACCGTTATGGGATCTGGCCACAGGTCCATAAAGAAGTCAAAGTCACAGGGGTATTGCGGGGGATATCACTAGAAGTTCTGGATAAATTGGTGAACAATCCATACTTGTGTAATGAGAAATTCAGCTGTTGCTGAGTTCGATGGGGGCACCTTGCAAAATTTCGGCGCGCAAAAGATGATCAAGTGAACTTTCGCAATCAAGGAGATCCCTAGGTTGATATAGGCATATTTTGAACCACAACATATCAACTGCCCGGGTGGTCTAGTGGTATGATTCGCGCTTAGGGTTCACCCAAAGCAATATTGCGCGAGGTCCCCGGTTCAATCCCGGGCTCGGGCCGACAGTTTTTGCCTTTTGCATACATTACTTCCTAATCTAAGAATAATCAGCCTCATCGTATATCTTTTTAGATGTCTCTATACTGGATTTTCTATCGTTTCTCGGTTTTATCAGCTCAGTTTTATCAGGGTTTGGATAGAGTTGTGACAGACTCTTCCATATATAACATTTGATCTTTGTTGATTTGGCAATCAATGTGCCCCCCTTATGGATGAATGTACATGTGTCTTCAACGGCTAAGTAAATAGCTGAATCAATAGTTATTCTTTAACTAGAAGGGGGCAGGTAATAGACCAGGGGCCGGATCTAAATAACAGAATGCCATTGTATAACTCCGCCAAAAGATATACTGGCGAAGTCTACGCTGACTGGGCACCGATATATCTACTACTTAGATTCAACGAAACCCCGACATACAGATTGAAACAAAACAGCTGTTAATGTAGGATCGGAAAGCCAAAAAAGGATAGGCCCGAGCCCGGGATTGAACCGGGGACCTCGCGCAATATTGCTTTGGGTGAACCCTAAGCGCGAATCATACCACTAGACCACCCGGGCAGTTGATATGTTGCGGTTCAAAATATGCTTATACAAGGCAGGGACACATTTTGATTGTCGTTTAGCCGCACACCCCTATCTGAAAATGCCATACCGCCTTCCTAATTAGAATACTGCCAATATATTTCTACTGATTCGATTTTTTAAAGCCCTATATCCACTTTATTAATTCTAGTTTACCTAGTCAAAAAGCCCTATATTCTAATCATGAAAAACTGTATATTGAATACTTGAATTGGTAGACTAAATAATAGTATATACGGTTTTAGAATTAAGATAAATCATATAGGAGCAAACAGTATAGTTTATATGACTTGTTAACAGCTTTACTCTACTAAAGATTTATATAAACTTTCTTCTTTAAATAAATCTAAGAATCATACTTAGATAGATAGGCTCCTAGCATATATATTAGGTAGTTAACTATATAGCTTCATAATAGTTAAGTTAATAAATTATTTATTAATCGAAAATTAAAAGATGGAAATCTTTTAGGTGGAAAAAAAAGAATGGGCCCGAGCCCGGGATTGAACCGGGGACCTCGCGCAATATTGCTTTGGGTGAACCCTAAGCGCGAATCATACCACTAGACCACCCGGGCAGTTAATACAAAAAGTGAATATGCCTTTTCATATTATGCCAAATCTAGCTCACTTGGCACATTGGTTATTAACTAACTAGTACACATAACTAGGTAACTACAAGCCTAGATCCCCTAATATTCTTTTTTCACTTTTATTCTTTCTTTATTCTTGAGTTTATTCTTTAGCTCTCTCGTTTTTTGGTTGGTAGCCCAAGGCTGCAACGCCTGCAAGATCTTCCTATTTAGATGCGTAGCTACATAGATATATATTATTTTGTTGACTAATTGCAGTTAACGCAGTCATACAAAACTTGGCCCTCTATATATCAAACACATGAAGGCGGCCCATGTAAGACTAGAAGGGCAACAATTACGGTATTTTCAACCGGTATTGACATACTACACCCGCCATACCCTCTACGTGCCCGCAACGTCACTACACCATACTTTCAGCACTGGCAAACTCTTTATGTTGATCGAAATTTTCCTCGGTACGTATACGTGATCCTAAACCGCCGGGCAAATGAACCCATCATTAGTTAACGCAAAAAAAAAAATTGTGTGGGGTGGTGCCTAGGTATTAGGAAATGCGCATGATTTGGGGAGGAGGGAGGCAGTCGTATAGCCAACAATATTTAGTGACCACCTTGCTTCTTTCACCATGTTTAAACTGAATATAAACGACTCAGCCAGTAGTGAACTAGCGAATCTGTCTATATTTTTTATTCGATCAAATAATCTACCACGCGGTGGCGTAGTAAATTGAAGTTAAAGTAAAAGGTAGGAAAATAGATAGGTAATACTTTGCATCTGGGTAGCTGACCCTCGCTAGCGAGGGTCAGTTTTTTCGAAACCAAAAATATTACAGCGGTCGGTTAGCAAGTGAATGACGATGTTGTATATTCTTGGGTTGAGTTAATCCCCCACGGCAATCAGTACATATGTACCTACATAATTGAGTACCCCACGTAGGTTGATCGCGGTTTAAGTAGCTGTGTCCCAGGTTAGATTAGGTGTGGGGGCTCCACGGGTACACAAAACCGAAGAGCGACACATTCGCAATACTTGGGAATAGCTTTGGTCCTTGCATATATATATATATATATATATATATAGATAGCCTCACTTTTCTCATCCTATCCCGAAGCATGCTCAATGGTCCAACCCTAAAGATCCCGTGTTCTGACGCACGCCAAGGACGTTTTTCCATCGCCTAGGCAGGCATTTTGCTACAGAGTACTCTGTGCACGATGAAATTTACGAATAGCCAGTCAGCCGCGCCATGGCCGCTCAAGCCTCGCAAAATGGCCCCCAATTCTCTGCTTGCTTGGCAATGGCAATATCGGCACCGGAACTGGACAAACCTGGGGGTTGAGCCTCACGCTCAAAACCCCCCTGGCTAATGTTCTTACTGTAACTAAATCTGTCTTGACGGGCCTAATACATAAGCTAGCCAGCCCCCGATGTATCTTGGCTGAAACCCCGTTTCCGTCATCGCATCCTTCCAAGCCTTCTAGGTCAATCCTCGCATGACTGTCCACCATGTGGAATAGGGACTCACTCGACCGCGACACTGAATTAATACCGATTCCCCACCACCGAAGTGCAGATTTGCTGATCCAAAGTACATCAGAGCGCGAGTCTGAAAGATACTCGGAGAGAGAGACAGAAAGACTCGCCGTATACAATGAGGAGTTCAAGCCCAAACATGGTTGGCTCTTTCAAGGTGGAGACCAGTTCCAAGGCTGGAGGTTCACTATCTGTCTGGCTTTTATCGCCAGTCTGATCGTCTTCCTTTTCAACCTCGGCTTTATGCTCTATACTATCTCTCATCATCGACAGGATGATACGGAGGGGACCCTGTACCAGGGTGATTGCGATAAAGTGCAGCATTTGGACATTGGCTTCCATTTGCTGATCAACATCTTGAGCACGACTCTGTTGTCTGCTAGCAATTTTGGGATGGTAGTTGATAAATATCCCCAAATGTACTTTTTAATTAACTAATAGCAATATCAGCAATGCCTCGCTGCACCGACAAGACGAAATATCGACCGAGCTCACCGAAAAGGGAAATGGCTCGACATCGGAGTGCCCAGTATCCGCAACCTTTTCCGTGTATCTAAAGGACGATCGCTCTTATGGATATGCCTGGCATCCTCCTCTCTCCCTTGTCACCTCATGTACGACATTCCCTCACCTGATTGAACATCAACAGCACCCCCACTAAGCAAAGTAAAAAGGTACAACTCAACAATCTTCTCAACAACCTCCGTCGCAGCCTACAATATCTTTCTAGGACATGGAGATCTGGGCAAAATCTATTCGCCAGACCTCGAAGTACCACTCCATGACACAGACAAATGGTCCTCCTTCAACGGACTCTTGTCATCCGCCAAAAACGGATCTCTGCAGCATCTCGACCCAAAGGAATGCGTGGAAAATTACGCTCAAACCTTCCAGACAACCTATGGCGATCTTCTTCTTGTCACCGAGCAAGTGTCAACAAACACTTCATATGTTTACCTTACGACGCAGGGCGTATTAAATCCTCGGCGATACCTGGATCTCACGCCCCCGCAGGCAGATCCGTATAGGTGGCTTTGCCCAAGTGATTGGAGCGATGACTGCGAAGTGTATTTGCCAACTATTCAGTCTCAAATAAAGAAGGACGACTGGTCCGTGGGAGGTACTAGTTCGTCGGGTGGTGGGTGGAAGATTGATTACTGTCTCGCCAAAAAGGCGAGACAATTCTGCAAATTGCAGTACTCTTTTCCATTAACCATGGTCGTTATTACATTCAATCTGGTTAAGTCTACCATATTGTGTTATATGTGGTTTGGTATGAAAGAAGCCCCCATCCTGACCATCGGTGATGCTATTGCCTCCTTCCTACGTCGCCCCGATCCATATACGAAGGGTGGATGTCTCCTTCTTAACCGAGAAGCCGAATCCATGTCTAGGTCTTCATCAGCATCAATCAAAAAGTATCCACTGCATGAAGCGAGAAAGTATGTAAGGAAAAGAAGACGCTGGGGTAGTGCCGTTTCCACCAGACGATGGGTATTCAGTATATTCTTGCAAGTTGTCCATCTACACCACTGTTTCTATCATGTATGAAACTTTCAGCTAATATCCTCTTAGGGGGCTCATGGCTATCTTTGCCTGTATCGCCCTTCTCATATACGGCATCACCCAAATAAAAACCGGGTCAACCGTCTGGAAAGCAACCCTAGGCGAAGTAAATCCAAGCACCCTCATAATTGGCGACCACTGGCCCGGCACTCTAATACCAATCGTGATAATTGCTAACATGCCCCAACTCATGTTCTCCTTCCTCTACTTCGCCTTCAACAGCCTCCTAACCGCAATGAATATCGGCGCAGAATGGAGCGGTTACGCCGTCAACCGAAAAGGACTCCGAGTCTCAGGTAGTCCATCCTTCTCGCAACGCAGTAACTATTTCCTCTCATTGCCATATCGCTATGCAATCCCACTCATGGTAGTCTCTGCTCTTCTGCACTGGCTTATCTCACGGAGTCTATTTATTGTGGGAATTGATGCATACAGTCCAAGTATGGAGAGACAGCAGGATAATGACATCCTCACATGTGGATACTCGCCTGTTGCGATTGTCAGCTCCATTGCGGTTGGGAGCTTTATGTTTTTCTGTGTGGTTGGACTGAGTTTCAGGCTGTTTGAGTCGGGCATGCCCGTTGTGGGAAGTTGCAGTTTTACCATTTCTGCGGCGTGTCACCCGGCTTTTGATCCGAATCGTGAAGGCAATGGGGAGATCGACCAAGGGATGGAATGCGAAAATGAAGACGAGGATATGGCTTTATTACCCGTTCAATGGGGTTCAGTGCCGGTTGTGGGATCGGTGGGACATTGCAGCTTCACGTCCGGGGACGTGGAAGAGCCCCACGGGGAGCAGAAATATCTGTAGAATGGACAGTATATGTATAACTATGTGTATTTCAGGCAAATTGGGGACCAAAATAAAGTTGCCTATTCCTCCCTTGAGGAGTGAACTATATAGCTCCGGGGAGCTCTGATTACTTCTTGTAGGGACAATCAGTAGTGTGCCTGAGGATCATGTTATAGACTAATTTAAGGCTATGTCTCTTCAATATAAACCCATGATGAGGTCGAAATATATGTACATAAATTTTAGAAGTACTGTTTGTTTGTTCATCCCATGGAAAAGGTACATATTGCGTTGAACATACAGCCCGACCCACTAGGGGTTAGGAGGCTTCTCCACTTGTAGGCAAAATATGAGACTTTGGATATCAATTGCCCGGGTGGTCTAGTGGTATGATTCGCGCTTAGGGTTCACCCAAAGCAATATTGCGCGAGGTCCCCGGTTCAATCCCGGGCTCGGGCCCATCTTTTTCTATCTTTTTTTTCCCCTTCTATATTGTAGTAATATAATTGGTTAATATAATGCTACACTATATATATGCCTTTATCAAAATTAATTTTTGCCGTAATTAGAAAAAATAGGAGAGGATCGAGCTGATGTCATCTAAGGAATAGAAAATTTCCACTTGTAGGCAAAACATGAAACTTTAAATATCAACTGCCCGGGTGGTCTAGTGGTATGATTCGCGCTTAGGGTTCACCCAAAGCAATATTGCGCGAGGTCCCCGGTTCAATCCCGGGCTCGGGCCCATCTTTTTTCTATCTTTTTTTCCCCTTCTATATTGTAGTAATATAATTGGTTAATATAATGCTACTTCACATATACCTTTATCCATCTTAGTGTACGGAGATCGAGTGCAAATATTTCAGCTCGCCGCTTTTAGCGTTCGTAGTACACTAGTCCTAATACCTAGGTATAGATAGTAAAGGCCGTTTCTATCTTATTTATACTCTGTCTCAATTCAAATACACTATTTATGTAAAGATACATGTTACGGACCTACCGTCACCAATCACCGGTGACCCACAGGGCACACAGATGGGCCACCAAGAGTCAACCAACCTACATGCCAGCAGGTCACGTGGAGACAAGTCGGCCAGAAGGCGGCCACTTTCGGCCCCCTTAAGACAAATAGCAATTCTACCTCTATAAGAACTCAGAGTACCCCTAACCGCCTAGGTCACGTGACCATGACCACCTACCAATACCAAGCAGGAGTAGGGAGTCACTGTGACTCCGGTAGATATACTCCAGGGAGTATACTTTAGGGAGTAGGAACGAAGGATATATAAGGACACTCCCTTATATACCTAGTTTAGTTCTTCGTCTTCAATTATACATTGTTACTTGTGTTTACCTTTTGGATTACTGTGACTCTCTACTTGATTATAACTTGACAACACTCACGAGCAGACCAATACCCCGGTATAGATCTACTCGGCGCTCTACCTGGCATCGGTTCCTTGATCCCTCAACAGGACTTAGGCTACAGTAAGGCCCTGCGCGGCAATAGCTCAGTTGCGATCGATCATTGACGTTGGATACCTACGCGTATTAAGGCAAGTATACCCGGAACCTATCTAACCTAACTGTGACCACTTTGCAGTGCGTAACAATACACTACTAGTCAGGGTAGATGCCTGTCAGTAGACTGCGACATCGCCCGTCCATGGGCACCTAGAAGGTGCCCATCGCCCGTCCACGGTGGGCCTTGGGCTATTTGGATTTTCGAGTGCCCGTCCATAACGCCCAAGGCCCACGGGCATGCCCACGGCGGGCATGCCCACGATGCCCACCATTATATAAAGTTGTCTTAAATATATATAAAAATTAGATATATAGTAAATTATAGTATATATATTTATATATATCTTATTAAAAATCCGGAATTATGATTGTAAATATATAAAAAATATAAATTTAGTTGAAATATTTTGAAATCTGTCAATTAAAATCACGTGTTGCGCTAATTTTGCTTACTAAAAAGGCCCACGGGCGCCCACGGTGTCCATGGACAATGGGCCCTAAGGGTAGGGCCCGTCCATGGGCGTATTGATAGTGCCCATCGCCCGCTTACATAAGGCCCGTGGGCACTGCCCACCCGCCCGTCCATGGGCGATGTCGCAGTCTACCTGTCAGTCAGGTAAGGGAATGGAAGCCAACTGAGTGTTATAAAAGTCAAAGACTGTTTCTGGAGGATCCCTCAAGTTTCCCTATGATCCTTTATTATATACAATCCTCCCCGGGTGATTCGGTAAGTCGGCAAAACCGGATGTAACCAATAAAAGATAATGAAGTCACCTCTTTGCAGGGTTTCCTTGGTGGAAGGTAGGCGGAATACAGCCGTTTTACCGCCGAAAGGTTACCATTCTGCCAGATATTGTATGCCTGAGGCAATCTTCTGCGAATAACATTATAAAGGTATACCGTAACAGTTTATACTCTCAGAGTCTCTAGACCCCCTTTCTCCCTCCCCTAGCACTACCCCCAGCACCTCTCCCTAATATAATGAACCTCTCAATATAAAACGGTATTCGCTCAATCCAAGCGTAGATTTGCTACTAGGGTAGTTCTCATTATACTTTCTCCTAGGCCTGAATTCCTTCACCTCGACTTTAGGGCCTTATTTTTCATAGTAGATCTCTGTAGTGAGAACCACGCCGGCTCGATCGTAAAGTATTATACACCACCATTGCAAAGTAGTGGTTTTGTTCGAAAGAGCAACAAAAAATGGAGCCAAAATCTTTGGAATCGACCTCTGTATGGAGTAACCTTCGCCGTACTTGAAACACTACCTAGACAAGAGTGGATTGAGCGTATATTTATTAAGAAACAGTGCGCTCTTACTTATATAGGTAAATCCTTAAATAATATATCAACTGCCCGGGTGGTCTAGTGGTATGATTCGCGCTTAGGGTTCACCCAAAGCAATATTGCGCGAGGTCCCCGGTTCAATCCCGGGCTCGGGCCCATTCTTTTTTTCCACCTTTTTTTTCCATCTTTTAATTTTCGATTAATAAATAATTTATTGACTTAACTATTATGAAGCTATATAGTTAACTACCTAAAATATATGTTAGGAGCCTATCTATTTAAGTATGATTCTTAGATTTATCTAAAGAAGAAAGTTTATATAAATGTTACCAGCCAGTTCTTTAAACGAAAGAGTGCATTTCAACGAAAATACTAAGTACAGAGAGTAAAAAGAAAAGGAAGAAGAGGATTGGTGGGCACAAAGGTCCTTTGTGGGGCCTTTGTGCAAACCATGCAAACACCATCCTCCACGTGTCTCAACCCGACAGGCGGTCAGCAACGGCAGAACTACGGTTGTCATCTCTAGATCGTGACAATAAATCTTTAGTAGAGTAAAGCTGTTAAGAAGGCATATAAACTATACTGTTTGCTCCTAGTAGTGTTCTATGATTTATCTTAATTCTAAAACTGTATATACTATTATTTAGTCTACAAATTCAGGTATTCAATAACTATATAGTGTTTTATGATTAGAATATAGGGCTTAAAAAATCGAATCAGTAGAAATATATTGGCGGGATTCCAATTAGGAAGGCGGTATGGCATTTTCAGATAGGGGTGTGCCTAAAACGACAATCAAAATGTGTCCCTGCCTTTTATAGGCATATTTTGAACTGCAACATATCAACTGCCCGGGTGGTCTAGTGGTATGATTCGCGCTTAGGGTTCACCCAAAGCAATATTGCGCGAGGTCCCCGGTTCAATCCCGGGCTCGGGCCTGTCTTTTTGCATTTCTTTTTTTATCATCTCTTTCTAACCTAATGTTAACTAATACAATTAATTGATTTAATGCTAAGCTTTGCGTCATCCCCAAGCATAAACCATACCGATAGGCACAAAGAAGAAAGAGAGCAGAAAAAAAAGGCTATCAATAAATATCAAACGTAGATAGACCCTGGATGGTATCACTACAGTTGTAGCAGCTATTTTGTCTTAGTTATACCTACGGTCACACATAGAGAACTCCTCTGTGGATTAGATTTTACCGACTTATATTGTCGTAGTGTGATAAGCCCGGCAGTCTCCCTTGTGCTGCTATAGCATGCATATGTCTGTATTTTGCTCACTACCAAGCAAGAAAATACCCAGGCAGTTTCGAAATCGACAGTGAAGCTCTGTTAGGCCGAAAGTGCTTCAAAATTATACCATCTTCATACTGATTGGCCCTATAGGAACCTCCAGTATAAACAAGCAGATGGTCCATTCATTGTATGCTATCATTGTCAAGATATCCGCGGAAATGCTGATACCTCGAGCAAAGTCATATTCCTTTCTCTAAGGATGATAATAATATACCCGATAGTTACAAGGTGGGTACAATATCGGAAGTCGGCAAGATAAAATCATTCTTCTTGGAACAAAAGCCCCCCTGCGCTCACCCCAAAAGAGTAGTTTGCTTTGCTCTAACGTGTCTCTCTCTACCTATCGGATCCTTTGGTTCGCTTCCAATCTGTTACCGTGCTACGTAGGACTGGAGATGATGGGGTTGTGGAACACTCTCTGGCCTCATTGTGCTACTATGCAAGCTAGAATATAAATTGACTGCCCGGTAATAGTTGCTTGATTCCATATCAGAAGCCACCGCCCCGAAGCACATAATGGAATTACCCAAAATATTATCTGGTTCCTTTTTCATTAGCTGCTGGCTGATATGCATTATTGGTGGTGTCCTTCTGGTATGTACAACAAAATCACCTCATATGGGACTGTTACTCATGCGATATGTAGAACACTATCTATCGCAGACTCACAAATCCGCTGTCTCATATACCTGGGCCTGAGGTATCGAAATGGACAGAAGCCATTTATACATACAACTGGTTAAATGGAAAGATACCTATGTACGTTCATCAGCTTCATGAAAAATACGGTAGGTGTTGCAGGTAGTTAGTGTTATAAAAGAAATCTCTTCCTTAATATTGAAATAGGGCCTATTGTACAAATCACCCCAGATCAGGTCGATATCTGCGATACAAGCGCCGCAAAGGAGATCCACAAAACTAATAGCCGCTTTGCTAAAACTGTCTTCTATCGCAAGATATCCGGAAGCAATGTGCCCACCACATTTTCAACCACCGACAGAGACTTCCATACCCGCCACCGGCGTCTTTTAGCATCGCCTATCTCTGAATCTTCGTTGACTCGCCTTGAACCAATAATAGTCAATCGTATCCGTATAGCTGTCGACAAAATTACAATGGAACTAACGGATCATGGCGTTACTGATGTGTTTAAATGGTGGCTGTTTATGGCCACAGACATCATTGGTGAACTCACATTTGGAGACTCATTTCGAATGCTCGAGATTGGCAAGGTAAGTACAGCGCTTGAGCTTGACAAAATATTATAGACCATCTATACTAATGACGAATATAGAAAAACCAATACAGCCTTGACATGGAAAGACTGATATCACTACAGCCCTTTCGAACAACGTTCCCGGTTCTAGTGCAGATTGCAAGATATCTCCCCGTGCCGATTATTAAGAATACAGCGAATTCAGAGGAGAGACTCAAAATATATGCAATCCAGTCTGTCGATCGCTACAAAAAAATCATCTCTCAAAATCCAACTGGCCCAAAGCCAACCTTGTTCACAAAACTTTTCGATGAAAAGAGTGGTATGTCGTATTCAGAAATCATACAGGAGGCTCAGGGATATATTGTTGCAGGAAGTGATACCACAGCTGTCACATTGACCTATCTTACATATGCTGTGTGTCGAGACAGCCGAGTGCGAGAGAAGCTTGTTGCCGAGTTGGCTGATATTCCCGAGCCTGTCACGGACAAAAGTCTCCGGGACCTACCATACCTCAATCAGATTATCAACGAGACGTTGCGATTGTACACGGCCGTTCCGTTTGGTCTGCCTCGATTAGTGCCGTCCGAAGGGGCTCAGTTCAATGGGTATCATGTGCCAGGAGGAATTACGGTCTCGACCCAAGCTTATAGTCTTCATCGTGACCATGCTATCTTCCCAGACCCGGATAAGTGAGTCATCCAACCCTTGATAGTGTCGAAACTAGGAAATTAAAGAACATGAATAGGTTCAATCCCGAGAGGTGGGAAAATCCGACGAAAGAAATGAAGGATGCCTCTTTGCCATTTGGTGGTGGATCAAGGAGTAAGTCCCTTGATATTGGCCACGGGTGGGGTCATCAGTCATGCTAATTCTTATAGTCTGTTTGGGCATACACCTAGCTCGAATGGAACTTCGTCTAGCTACAGCACTTTTCTTCCGAGCTTTGCCTAATGCTCGACCTTCTACAAAAGAAGGTATGACAGCTAGCGAGATGGAGATGCAATCCTTCTTAATGGCGCCGCAAGGCCATCGTTGTATTATCGAGACATGATAAATGTTTAGTGTGAGCTTGGAATCTTTGGAATTGTTGATCTCCGCAACGATAGCAGTGTGCTTTTCTCATGGAGCTGACCTACAGAGAGGTCTGTTTTTCAAGTGTATAATTGGTACTAGTATGGCTTCTAGGTCTGGTAAATCTATTCATAGCAACATTTTGCCCTTCAGCGAATGTTTCCTTATAGGATCTACCCAAATAATATGACTTATGACCGTCAATTATCATATTAATTGTGAAGTTTGTATGCCAAATGGGAGAGGTATGGCTTGCAGTGTTGCCTCGGATATAATTTCCACAGAGAGCCTAGAACGTAATATAACTACCTAAATAATTACTCGGATTTGTCACCAAAACTTTGCCGTTGGATGTTTACAAGGTACTTTTGCTAAATTCTACCGGAGATTATATAAATTACAGGACACCAGGACGCACTAACCTTCATAGTACATAGTACATAGGTACTCCATAATAAACTTCAGTTTCAGCCTTCAGCCACCTCATTGGCTCATAGGAGCATTTTATGGGAGTATGGTCCCGCAAATTTGCAGCGTAATCTTTCTCGGAAACTTAGAATATCATATCTTTACACAATACTCCGTACACAATACGGCGATGTCGTTCGATATGCGTTGGTTCCTAGAATCTTATCTCCGATATAGTGACGCCCGAACATCGTCCTTTAGGTATATACTGGAAATTTATGTCAAATTACTATTGTATGTTGGTGATTTCTGCTTTTGTCAGGGTATGACAAGGCACTGCAAAGAGACGACGTTATTACAGCATCGTCCTGCGAATATACTGACATAGATCACTCAATGAAATTAGGTCACAGAGGAAAGAAGAGACTGATAACTAGAAAATCTCTTGAGCCGTACCGACGTCGGAAAATGCACCCTATTCCCTGTTGAGGGGAGTTGCTTTCTTAGCCTCTTAGCCAACTGATGTAGATTATGATTGCGATCGCTGGCAGTTGATTATTATTGTTCGCTATCTACGTAATGTGTACTCCGTACGGAGTACAGATTACTACAACTTAGAAATTCCATTTCTTTTCTATGCTTTCCCTCTCATTTCCCCCATGTCAGATCACAATACAAGTTGCACCAATGCCCTTGGCACTGGTAAGGCAGTTAGCGGGGATACAATGTTGATCGCATCCAATTGAGGGCAACCGTCAAGTCTCCACTGCCTTCGATGTTGTAAACAACCAACTTACTTACTTTGTTGGTTATTTGTAGATTAACAGGATTCAAATTTACATGGCAGCTGCGACGTGAATATGTGTAGCCAATAGTACCATTGTTTTTTTTCCCCTTCATGCCTTATCATCAAAATATCTAATAATAAATAACAAATTGAAAATGGCCCCCAAATTCACTCCAAACCTTTTGTATGCACTAGTAAGAGGGCACGGCCCCCGTTTCCTTCAGCGTCTAACACAGAAGTCGGATTGGCACAAAATTTCCTACCTTGGAACAGCCTAATATAAGCAATGCCTCCCCCCGGTCCAGCCCCAGTTGTTTCCAGACTTTCAGAGACGTTACTTTGACTCTCTCCCTACTAGTTTCTCTATACCTTAAATTGATCCACTGTCACTCTTTCCTGTTCAAATCAATACGCGACAGATCCGATGTCGGATATGTTAAGTAGCCCATATGGGCTCTCCGTCCGCAGAAACGGCTCCTGTCTCGCCACCGAAACAGATTGTGGCCAAACCTGGTCCCCCTTCCATGCCTGTTGTCCTGGGGGCACAAAATGCCCAGCCGGCCAATCAAACGTGAAATGCTGCCCATCAGACGCAGACTGCTCCGAGTTACTTGATGACAAACATTGCGCAAACAGCACCGCGAATGTCTACAAGGCCAATGATTACTTCTGCTGCGCTTCTGGCACACAGGCTTTCCAGAAAAAGAACGGTTATGTTGGCTGCACCAATGATACATCCACTTTGGACAGTAGTTTGACTCTCTTGAAAATCCAGTATCATGGTATGTAATGATTTACCAGACCGAAACTTCATTACAGAGTCATAGACTGGGTGAACTGAATCTCTAACCACCCCTCTACAGGCTCTACCTCAACAGCCTTGCCTTCATCGACAATATCCAGTGCAATTTCCAGTGCCACGACCACCACCACTACTTCAGATGCCACAACCCCCACAAGCGCATCGGATAATTCGTCATCGTCATCGTCCTCGTCCAACACCGGAGCTATTGCTGGAGGTGTTGTTGGTGGAGTAGCTGGGTTGGCCATCCTGGCTGGTCTACTCTGGTTCCTACTCCGCCGCCGAAACAGGGCAAAGCAGAACACAGGAGCACCTGTAGACCCAAGCCCTCTAATGTCTAGTGTTCCCGAATCGAGTTTCCCCGGACCGGGTAGTAGCCATGGATCGAGTGTTCCCATTTCGAGTGTTACCGGATCGAGCGTTCCCGGATCGAGTGCTCCCGGATCGAACATTGTTGAGTACTTCAATAAGGCTCCCGAAAGCCTGGTGTCCCAACCACCGCAAGAGCTTGCTGGCCGAGAAGAAAATATGATCCATGAGTTACCGTCGCAGTCGACACATCGGTGATGACGTGCATGTTGTCTAGGCGGAGGAAATACCCGAGAGAAAGTCTCATAGTCTCTCACTACTTTTATGTTATAAATATGTAATACAACAAACAATTTCTGACTTAGCGCATGTCAAGATAATATCGCACTTCTACAATATTACCCAACATTGCTTTTATATCAAAAACCAGATCTGAGATATAGAAGACTAAAAATGTCCGCTGGTTCTTACATCTCACTGTCAACATAGCTTCCGGCCGCGGCCAACGTGGCATAGTAAAGGTTTGTTTCAGCGCAGATAACCATTCTGCCCTCTCCGGCGAAGTTGAAATTCGCTGTACCAGATCCAAGATAGATCTTGCCGATGAGCTTGCCAGATGGGTTCCAGACATGGACACCATCGCCACAGCCAGCATATACGTTACCCCATGAATCGCAGTGGACGCCTTTCCAAGAAATTAGCCTTAATAACAATAAGTACAGCTTGCTTGACTTACCATCAGGAGCACCGGAGTGAACAAAGGCAAAAGTCTTGCGATTGTCGAGTGTGCCGTCCTCTTTCACATCAAATCGGTAGCTGTAACACACAATCTGGCGTTAGTTTCAAGCCCAACAAAGGGAACGTTCGAAATGATAGCACATACATAGAAGCAGGACGGGTGAAGTTAAAACCGAAGAAGCCGCTATCGATTCCGGTATCGGAAACATAAGCGTATTTGCCATCCGGGGAGAAAGTGAAACCTGCTACAATGTCAGTTGCACTTTCCTTTTTTTAGCTTGTACGAATTCTTGATCGCCTACCGTTGGGGTGGTCAAACCCATCCGCGACAACTGTAACGGCGCCTGTATCGGGGTTGAATCGGTAGACTTGATCCTGCAGACCGGGTGCAGGGCGGAAATCCTGTACATAGCCGTAGATAGTGTCTGTGAAGTAGATGTCTTTGCTTTCTGGGTGAATGGCAACATCGTTCAGGGAGTTGAATTGGCGACCGAAGTAGTTGTTAAGAATAACTATCAACCATTTTGTTAACCCCCGAAACGCAAAGAGGTGGTTTTGTACTAACCTGTAGCATTGAATGGACTCTTCGGGTTCATAACCCACAAAGCAGGCGGTTCATTGTCACCTTGACCCTCACCGGCGAATACAATTTGTCCACGGTAATTGGTAGCACCTGAAGCACAGTCAGTTTCCTTGAACCTCTAAAAAGAAGAACTGATTGCCTACCATTGGGGTTGAGAACCGTTGGCGATGAAGGAACGGTGGTTACAGTAACAAGGCCCGCGGCATCCGACTTGTGGGAGACAGCAGCAGCTTCCGAAAGAGAAATCTTCTCAATGATAGCTGACTTCTTAAGACCGGTGCTGGCATTCTTAGCACCTGCATTTTGGACGAAAAACACCTCATCCGTTTCCTTGATCCTAGAAGCTAAAGTCAGATTCCATCTATAGTTGCCTTGTACTTGATCTGCGCGTTAGATACCTACCATACAACCGCCTCATGGAATATAGGGTCCTTTGGGGAGTGTGCGATCCGAGTTAGAGTCGGGGCATCTCCGATAATCTTCAGAAATTCCTCGTCGTACACATGGAAAGGCTGCTGAGCTAGACTATCTCCTGTCGAGCCTGGGGGCACAAATAGCTATGTATTTATTAGTAAGGAGGTGCTACTGGAGACCGGAAATTAGGAATCGCATACACTCTTCGCATTGAATTCGGCTGGAGGCTGAGTCGTTGCCAGAACATTGAAAAATTTTTGGTCAATTACCTGCGCTTGAGCAGGAATATTGCTCGAGCTGACCGGTGCTAAGAATGATCCCAGAAGCAGCAGCGTAGCCAGCGAGGAAAGTTGGGAAGTCATCTTTGAGGTAGTGCCAGGTACGTAGAGCAATAGAGCAATCCTCGGAGGAAAGGGAGACTAGGCATTTATCTCAGGGGGCTGGGGAAGTGGGGTATAGACCCATCATGCCTTTTTTTCAGGAACAATATCCAGCAATTCTCCGGACTTTTAGCCAAAGCTATGGCGTGTGTTGATTCTCGGAGTTGGGCCGATAATGATCGGCCTGGTTCGCCGCTTATTGACATCAGCGCCAGAACATGTCTTGCCGTGTTTCTGCAACACTCTAAGGTTAATTTGTAAGTTAATATGGATTTATATTGCTCCGACGAATATCTGCTGAAGTATGAATTAAAATATCTAGGTGTAAAATGAATATAAAAAAAAAATCGTGAATAAGATGTTTGGCGGCATGGCAGCCTGAGCCCAGCATGTTTACCCATCCAGGGCCTCCTTAATATCTAGATCATACCAATGAACATTCTTCCTTGCTCATTATCTATGTTTGTATTCCCCAAGGTTCTCCCTGGTGCCTTAGATTGGGCCGTATCTCAGTTACTATCCGGACTTTGCCAAGTAGCTCGACACCCGAAGTTACCCCCTTCGGATGTGAATGGGGTTGGGTTACTTGGCAAGGGTCAGGCGGCCAGTCAGTCAAAGCCCTCTTTTGAGGCTATGTATATATATATTCCATATGCAGATAAGACCTGCTATCCGGAGCTGTGCTTGCATGAGTGTGTAATTTACGTAAATTCCATTCATGGACTTCGCGGATTAGGGACAGACACGCTGTTCTCTCACGATACAATAATGCATCTTGTTCCGTTTGGTCATTTCTTCGTGAAAATCGGACATATTGACTTGAATGCACTTGACCTTCCAGCAAATCCAAGGTCCCTCACCTATTCATACTCATGGAGTGTATCATTGTGTTACGTGGAATATAATCCCCATTCATCTCTGTGTAAGTTGTACTCGGTGTTTCAAGGTGTAACTATACAACGTACACTCCCTGTAACTAGCTGCTGTACCATCCGCAAATTCGATCGACTAAGTCCTGCATTATAGTGGGACAGCCTGAAGCTTTGGATACTGTTTCATTGGTCCTTGACATTGGGAAATCACGCGGAAGTAAACCTCTGGTCGAGAAGATGATGACACGCGATGGTACCTGCACGTGATATCATCGTATAATTAATGCCTGATAAAATAGGCAACAAACCCCCAACTTCATTTTTGCTTGCTCTGTGTGACAATTATTATATATTTACATGAATGATTCCAGTAGATAGAATGGAATATCTTCCTAAAATGTAATAAACGCCTTGCAGTTATTATTGCGAGAGGCGCCGGAAACAAGACAAAGGTGCAATATCCAAACCTCACCAGCGTAATTGCAACCTTGGGATAGTTAGATACTGTATCCCTGCTTGTACGTAGAAAGGATCTCTGTATGATTTATGCCTTTCATGGCCTTTGTATATAGGAAATATTAGAGTATTGGTGCTACTGTTCATTATTCTCCTAGAAGGTTATAGCACCGACAAAAAGAACCTCCCGAGAAGGCAACTAAAAAGACATACTAAAAAGAACGCCTCTAGAAATATCAAAAAATAAGGCATTGATATTACCTTACGTATAATATTCCGTATACCATTTCAAGTCAGTTAAGTCAAATTATTAGAATCCTACGTCAAAAATTAAGGTCAAAGGTCACATACGCGGTCGACTATTCTAGGTTTTGAAAGTAGGGAAAACATATTCTAATCTAAGTTTTCAATGAGCCTTACAGAGCAGAGCCTAGCCAACTCCTTTGTAGATTCCTCCGGTCTATTCACATGTCTAGACTTGTCCTTTGTCTCAGAAACCCACAATTTTGGCCAAGTCTCACAATGATGATCGCATTAAGGGTCTTTGTTCTGTGTAGCGTCTAACTTTATTTTCAACTGTTTAAGCTAAGAAAAGTTCGCTCTTTATTTCGAATACCCGAAACAATGAACTTGATACAGGACGCCCTGGCTTGCTTCCGCGGTTGGGCAATTGCAACGTCAGCCCTGACATCTCTTCCAGGGTTCACTCGTCAAACATTTAGGTTTTTATTGCCCCAAATCCGCATATTCTTGGTTTAGGGCTGGGAGGTGGCGCTTTAGTGGAACACTGCGGAATAAGAGAAAGAATCAAACGATCCACTTAGGGAAATCTAATCCATTGGAACTTGGTGGCGTTCTAAGATATTTAGCGGATGACTTGCATGTGAAGCAGGAGCCAAGCCTGAAGTGCGGCTTTTTCCAAAAGAAATTGAACAGTTTTTGAAGAGACTTCAAGGAACAAAGTAGTAAACCATGGATTGTAAAAGGGGTTAATGGTGATTGGTTACAATTGATTTCATGCCCTGCCAAGACCATAAACTGTAATGCGATTGGTCAAGCGAACTATATTTCCAGCCAATAATAATACTTTTCTCCTGGACCACAACGTCAGCATCCACGGATCACACAAATGCTGCAAAATTCCGTCAACAATCAATTTCGGAGAGCTCCCGGGAGTGCCAGGATGCTCCTAGTATGGAGTAGTGAATCGTTAAAGGCGAAAATTGGTATTGTGCAGCTCGATCATGCATCTTGATAATGCAGCGGCCACAGTCGTAATCATCCCGGATTTGAGTTCCTGATAGTTCCGTTGCCTTTAGCCCCAGACTAAAGCGATCTGATCCCTGTTGGGGTCCACACTAGGGCATCCTTTGGAGTTGGACCCAGACAATGCGATTTGCAAACCTTTGAGTTTTTAGATCGGTAGTCATCCTTGTCGAATGGTCTATTTTGCGGTTACCTTCCTAGTTTGCGTACTCTTGACAGTTCTCATATCCGGTTGGTTTCCAAGGTTCCTCTGCATTCTGGAAAAGCGATATATCCTTCTTAATTGAGAATGCGGAGAATAGATAACCTTGGAAGCGTCTCTCCTACGTGGTCTTATTCCGAGCTTACTCCGTGTCTATCCATGGATCCATAGACCAGGTGTCCATGGGTATGAAGAATGACTAATCCCAAGTTCTGATGGGTCTACCAATGAGAAATGTTATGGATTATATAAAAATCTAGATTTACCGATGGTTTGACTCTATACAAATGGACCCAATCAAATTACGTGCATCTACTATTTGACCCATCTACCGGAGCCAACTCCATTCCACCTCCAACGGTAGGCACATATCGAATCCATGGCCTCGACCTTTGTGGAACCCATAGCATACGAGTCCTTTCAACGGTTTGACGTACGCCCAGGTGTACACCCCAAATGGTTCGCTTTGATGGGGCCAGGTACCCGGAACTTTCGGTTCATCCTTTGCTGTCGACTTACGAGGCAAGCGTGGCGGAAGAAAAAGATTCTGTCGATTTCGAGGGTATATATAGCTGCCGTTATTCCTCCTGTCTGTTCTCCTTTTTTTTGATCAACCACACTCCTTTTGGTACCATCGTTCATTCATTTACAACACTGTCTTTTGAATTCAACCAGGACTCAATAAACACTCATTCATATCTTTATTGATAGTTTTACCTTCTTTTTGTGACTCCACATCCCCAAAACAATCTATCAATATGCAATTCTCCAAGTCTCTCATGCTGCTCGCAGCCCTCACCACCGGTACCCTGGCCCTACCCTCCTTCGAACGCCGCCAGGCTACATCAACCTCAGCTGCCAGCGGCAGTAGCTGGACCGCCACGCCCTCCGACGGCTCATACTCCACCGCTGGATTCGGTAGCTCCACCAGCTCATCAGGCTCAGGCGAAACATACGAGGGCAACGTCGGCAACCCCTACGGCAGCAACATCATCTCTGTTGATGCCTCCTCCGCCAGCAACTACAAGTACGTTGCGCAGTTCACGGGCTCGAACACCGAGGACTGGACCGTTGCCATCTTCAACAAGTACGGTCCCGATGGCAAGATGACAGGCTGGTACGGAAACGCCTGTAACACCTTCACTCTTGCCGCTGGCGAGACCAAGTACATTGCCTTTGACGAGGACTCCAATGGTGGCTGGGCGGCCGCCGCCGGCTCCACCATCCCCACCGATACTCTGGGTGGCTACGCTTCCACCTGGGGCGAGTTCGACTTCGGTTCCACTACCAACAGTGGCTGGTCTGGATTCGATGTGTCGGTTATTGCTGCCCAGAATGCTGGCATGTCCATCTCTGGTATGAAGATCTGTGATGCCCTTGGCTCTGTTTGCTCTTCTGTCACTGCGGATGCCGCTACGGTCGATAACGCTTACACCTCCGCTGAGACTGATGTCGGTGGTATTGGTGCTAACTTGGCCTCTGGTCCCGTTCGCCTGGCCGTTACCATTGACTACAGCGGTTAAATTTTGTTTTCTTTGAGATTTGATTTTATATGATTTTGAAGATAGACTCTTGGATCATTCTGTTTCGGAGGATGGTCTATACTCAGCTGGAATGGTTTCTGCTTCTATGTCAATATAGAGACTTCTAGGCTGGTCCTTTTTTTTTGGTTATACAATATAACACATTCTTTCAAATACTTCTTGCCAATTGTAGAACTCTAGACCTATTTTTACTTGGGGGCTTACTTTGGGAGTTTCAGATGTGCGCGTGGCGTTAACATACGCAATCACCCACTACGTAGCCGCCACGTAATGAGTAATGAGCCCATCTTCAAAAACTACCTAGATACTACTCATGTTTCAAAATTAAAGATAGAAATAAAAATAAAAATAAAAATAGAGTTAGGATTAAGCTCGTTTCATTCTGAGATCCATTCATAATAACGTTGGAGTATATCGACAAATTCATTACTTGACTTCATGTCCGCTGACCCAATCCCATCAAACCCCCCCCAAAAATCAATCCCAAAATTACTTTCGCGGGCTAACAAGACCGTAGAACTCAAGAGGCTTGATACTGAATGCACCGTTCGACTCAAGCTTGTACTTGGGGTCCGCCAGTTCAAACGTGTTCTCCTTAATAATGCTGGCGAGTGTAAAGAACGACCACCGCCAAGCCCAGAGCTTGCCAATACATTCACGCTTGCCGTTACCGAAGCCCTTCTTCGCGGCAGCAGGAAG